GTGTCTAAATGATAGAAATACAATTCTAACCTGCTAAAAAGTAAAAATTCAGCCATCTGATGTTAGCCAGGTAATTTTTAAAATGGTACATATACTTATTACCCCTAAGGGGCAATACAGCCGACTCAGCCCCCACCTGTTTCTAACCAACCATAAAACTTCTAATCTCTTTGTAGGTAACAGGAATAAATGTTCTTAGGTCTCAGCCAATCTGGGGTGGAATGTTATGTAATTTATGACCCTCATGGTCCAGCAGGGAAGTAAACAGACACATTAATACCACTGCTCCCCCCTTACAATTTCTTACTCCCATGATACCCAGCCCCCACCAGTTTCTGGCCCACCATAAAACTTCATCTCTTTGTAGGTAACATGGATTACAGTTACAGATCTCAGACAATCTGGGGTGGCATGTTAAGTAATATATGACCTTCATGGTCTAGCAGGGTGGAGACCAAAGAGGAATCGGTACCACTGCTCTCCCCTCACAATTTCTCACCTCCATGATAGCCAGACCCCACCTGTATCTAACCCACCATAAAACTTCATCTCTTTGTAGGTAACTTGGACTTAGTTCTTAGATCTCAGCCAACCAGAGATAGCTTCTCCTTATGTAATTTATGGCCCTCAGGGTCCAGCAAGGAGAAAAAAGGGGAAACCAGTACCACTGCTCTCCCCTCACAATTTCTCACCCCCATGATACACAGCCCCCACCTGTATCTAACCCACCATAAAACTTCATCTCTTTGTAGGTAGCATGGACTTAGTTCTTAGATCTCAGCCAACCAGAGATAGCATCTCCTTATGTAATTTATGGCCCTCAGGGTCCAGCAAGGAGAACAAAGGGGAAACCAGTACCACTGCTCTCCCCTCAACATTTCTCACCTCCATGTCATGTTATGTAATGTATAGCACACAGGGCTTATCAGGGGAAAGCATTAAGGCAGATTAGTTAGTACCACCCCTTTTTGCATGCAAGGATGTTAACTCTGGACAGCTACACACTAGTATACTAATGTGCCTACTGTAAACTACTAGACTGTACTGTAGGCCCTATGTACACCTGCAATTGTATCAATTGTAGACTGGGCCCTTTTGGGGCCTAGTGATAGCTAGTATCAGTTAACTATTTTGGGGTTAGAAATTAATTATTTTTATTGTGGAGTTAGTCTAAACTAGGAGATACTACTTAATACTTATGGCCCCATTGCCCGGCTCCTTATACCCCAAATGCTGATTTTGGGGGTATGATGACAATGAATGTTCAATTAAACCCATTTAATAAAGTTTATTTAATAGACTTTGTTATTATTTTTATATTGTGTAAGATATGTTAGAATAATTTTGCCATATTTTCAATACTAAAAAATTCTTAGATTAGTAGAAATCTTTAAAAATGTACATGTGCTAAAAAGTCTTAACGTAACGCCCTACATTACCCTAATTTAAATATTTACCTACTTAATATAATATTAATAATAATATGTCCTACTATAAACGAATTGTTAGATTTAGATTCTAGAATACAGTCTTACTGAGATTCATCGTCTCTTGATCCTTCAATGTGAATGATAACATTTCGTATAGTGAAGTCTAGTATAATATTACAATATTTTATTATAAGGGCTCTATCTAATCTAGGTCTCTAGAATCTAGATTGCCTAAAAAAAGAAAAGGTCGAAAAGTTTGTAGTTCGACATTGAGAGTTACCTTCCCATCGTAAATGTTGTTAGATTGGACATAGATTCTACAAACAAGAGTGTCGTGACAGTGTTGTCAAATTCTTAAACTAAATAAATAACACTCTTATTAGAGATCTAGATCTAGATCTATAGATCTAACTTAATCAATAATTATGGTAATATATTTTTTGGGGAGAAGGTTACTTTATACCAGTGTCCGATAATGGAATCTTCTTTAAAAAAGGGGTGTTAGGTTCCTGTAACTAGATCTAGATCTAGACATCTAGATCTAGTAGTCCTAAGATCTAGATTAGTTATTTTTTTTAGTTAACTAAAAAAAAAAATTACTCACATAGATCTAGATTATTCTAGGTCTAGCTGATTCTAGCTAGATCTAGATCTAGGCCTAATCATTAATCATGATGACAAATATTTAATACGAGCCGACCCGCGGCATATCATACTCCGCTATTTAGTGGTTTTATTTTCTACTTTTCAGTAATTCATAATTTGTGAATTCGACAGTACTAATGCTGCCACTGAAAATATTTGCTTTAAAACACTATCAGTAGGTCGTTGAGGACGATACTACCCCCACCCTCCTTTCCCCTAACCCCTACCCTACACCCCCAGTGAAAGCAGCCTCCTCTTAATTACCTCCCCTAAGTTTAAAATAGTTTCAAACTAAATTATCTGCCCCTAATAGGAGTCACTAAACCCGGCTCTATGTTTATAAACATTTAGCATGAACCACAGCTCACCAGACCATGTTGGGGTGGGGGAGGTTGATTTATGCCTAATGAAGAAGAGAGGGGACTGCAAGGCGCGCTTACAGCTTGTTTTCTAGCGTCTCCCAGAAGAGAATTATATATATAGATAAGTCAAACCAAAAAAAAAGTAATGATGCTTGTCTTTCAACTATTAGCTTAATTGCCTTTATAAGTCTACAATACTTGATTTTCAACTCTTCTTCGTTTAAAAAACAAAAATAAATAATTAAATAAAATGTAAAGAATGACATGAGATTGAAAATAATGATCTACTCTTAGTGAAATGTGGTATTGTTTTGTTTTATTTAATTTAAAAAAAAAGGTAAGAAATATCAACATTCTTAGATGCCTTTTTTTTGGTAATGACACTGCTTTTTATGTGATAAATAAAATAGAGAAAGACATAAAACACATTGTTTGAGCAGCTAGATCTATGTCTTCCCAATTTATTGCTTTGCCATTTCATGTCCCGCATATTTCATTTTACCAATACCCTTAACTAAATCTGTGAAAACTCTACCAAAGTAACTTAAGATCTAAGTATTATACAGGCTAATAGCTGTATTCTCTAAACTTTTAAATCATAGTAAATTCAGTTTATTTGGATCTAGTAGATTTTAGGCCATACCAATTTTTTTACTTTCAGTTGTTTCTGGGCTTTTATGTTATTATGTTTTCCAACAGGGTACACCTATGAAGGACATAGTCATCTCAGAAAATGCTGCAAAAACCTTAATGGTGCAGAAACATGCCGATTATATTGCAGCATATGGTGACAAGAAAGATGACTATGTAAGTAATGTAGATCTGGAGTCTAATTAAAATAAGAATAGCATTTAAGTTTTTTATATACATTTTTCTTCTTTTTTCAAGTCAAATAACATTAAGTAATTAATTATGCTTAGTTTGTATATTATATTTATGACACCTTTTTCTTACTTGTTATTTCTATTAAGATATTTTTACATTTATTTATATAATTGTATAATATATAGTTAGTTAAGTAGTATGATTATATAGTTTAATATATATTTTTTTAATATTAAAAAAAGGTTGTGAATTAACATCTTTTATATATTTTTAAACACCATTTTTGTTTAAACTGAATTAAATTAATTAAAATAATGAATGAACAACTGCTTATTTTGATCATGTGTTTTGTTTAGGAGTATGTCATGACAGAATTTCTTAGAATGAATGGAATGTACTGGGGCCTAACTGCTATGTCATTAACAGACCAGCTTAGTCGAATGGACAGGTCTGAAGTAGTTGATTTTGTTTTGAAATGTCAGCATGAATGTGGGGGATTTAGCTGCAGTATAGGCCACGACCCTCATTTATTGTCAACACTCAGTGCCATTCAGGTGAAATTTTGTTTTTTTCCATTCAGTTAGATCATTCTCATGCTCTAATACTTTCATTTCAATTCTCTTATGCATTTGTAGTAGCAACAAAACTCCATGAATTTGTTTATTAATGGCTTTGTAATAGCTTTAGGGGAACAAAATCATTTGAGTGAATATAAAATATTTTTGATGTGTATATCTCAACCACTAACTAGAAACATTTTATAAATATGTAGTAATGTACTAAATTATCAGTGTATATTATTACTACTTCATGAGATGCGATTAATTTTTGTGAAGAATTAAAAATATAATTATATAATGTCATCCTATGAAGTTGATTCCCACCATTTGCAGATTCTGACATTGTTTGATGCTGTTAATGAAATAAACTCAGACCTTGTGGTCAAATGGGTGAAAAGTCTTCAGCAACCAGATGGTAGCTTTTATGGGGATAAATGGGGTAAGTGTGTGCCCTTAAAGCGGACATAAATGGTGCAAATGTGTACCTTTAAAGCAGAAACATTAATTGGGTAAGAATAATTGTAAAGCTGATATTTATATGGGGTATTTGTGCCTTTAAAGCTGACATTTATATGGGGCAAGTGTATTTTTTAGGGTCACATATACATTTGATACTTACTTATTTAATCCTCATTGCTTCCTGTGGAACATATGGCAGCAACAAAACTCTGCCATCCCTCCCTGTCCTGGGTCAGTGGCTGAGCTCATGCCGGACTTAGCCTGTTTGTACCCTTTATATCTTAATGTGATCAGGACATGTCTGTACCCCTTATATCAGGACATGTCTGTACCCCTTATATCTTCTTGTTGCAGGAGAGGTGGATACCAGATTTTCATTTTGTGCTGTGGCATGTTTAGCATTATTGGTGAGTATGATCTTATACAGCTGACAGTGCTGAAAAGTTTTTATCTTAAATACACTGCTGAAAACTTAGTTTTAACTCGCTATCAGTCTCTAAAAAGTTATATTTTCTTTGACCACATTAAATAGTGTTTACATAAATAATACATTTTAACCCTGTATGTTTGTAAAGTAAAGTTCCCTTTTCAAACCTGACGGTCTATAGTGCAAGTGAAGTAGAGTTTACTTGTTTCTGTGACCTCGGCATATGCAGGGACAGTGTGGTCAGCACTATGCCCAGCTGCCTTTACTTTCCCCAACATGAGTTTAGTACATGAGTCTACTGGCTTAAGCCCAGATTCCAACTCGAGATTTACGGGTTAGCAGTCCAGCTCTACTGCTAGACCATTCCATCCCCATGTATGTTTGAATCTGTCAATAATACCCCTGTTTTCATTTCATTAGAATAATAGGCTTATTCAATAACAGTGATGTTTTTATTTCATTAGAAGCCTAATTAAATGTTAACAATGACAGTTTTCACCATTCATTTAAACTGAATTGGTCATGACATAGGAATATTTTACAGTGTTTTTGCCACAGGACAGCACCTATGAATCATGAATCAATCCCAATCATTTAGTGCTATAGCAAAAATACATCTTTTGTTTTATATAATAGAACATGTATCACTGTATAATTTGCAGGCAACTATTTTTAAAAATGCCTTATTGACAGAATGCTCTCCAAGTGATCGATGTAGAGAAAGCCGTGTCCTTTGTGTTATCTTGTATGAACTTTGATGGAGCATTTGGGTGCAGGCCTGGCAGTGAATCACATTCAGGGCAGGTCAGTGTCATACTCGTTTGTTACATTTTTTGACCTTGTAGCAGAGGCTATAAATATTTAAAACTTCATGATGGCTATCCAGGTATAGTTTGTCAGTTTGTTCAGCAGTTCCCATGCTATTTTGATTTAGTTTATAGAGGTGCGTCAAGCAAGTTGAAATGATGATTTCAGGTTTACTGTTGTGTTGGGATGTTGTCAATAACTCAGCAAGATTAAATGATGGTTTCAGGTTTACTGTTGTGTTGGGATGTTGTCAATAACTCAGAGACTTCATCATGTCAATGCTGACCAGCTGGGCTGGTGGCTTTGTGAGAGGCAGTTGCCTTCTGGTGGATTAAATGGTAATTTTTACTGCTCTTTTAGAAATGGTGTCCAAACTTTTAGTAGCTTTTAGAAATAGTGTACAAGGTGTTTCATGCATATCTCCTTACAACAAGAATCTAAAAGCTGGTATACAGTGCTTTACTTAGAACCTTGAACAATTCTATGGTAATGAAATATCATGAGGTATACTTAAATATTAGTTGTATATAAATAGCTAAAAGTAGACCTGATGCTCCAATTAGGACGGCCTGAAAAGTTGCCAGATGTTTGCTACTCCTGGTGGGTTCTAGCCTCCCTTAAAATCATTGGACGCCTGCATTGGATTGACAAGGTGCATGTTTTTTTTTTAACTACTTGAACCATTTGCTTTCAAGCAGCTAAATATGTAAATCATATTTTTTTATTATAGTTCAAATAAATTTTCTCTGAAAATGTTCTTATACAATTATTCTACACTTAGCTTAAAGTATGATAGCCTTTTATCATCATCCTTTTTCCTGTTCATGTCCAAGACATATGGGACAGATAGAGTAGAGTAAGATAAATATGTATTTAAAAAGTACAGCTTTAACATTACATAAACTTTGAAAGTTTAAATTATTTCAATCAGGACAAATTGGTTGAGTTTATACTAGCCTGTCAAGATGAAGAAACTGGTGGATTTGCTGATAGGCCTGGTGATATGGTAAGTGGATGTTTTGTTTGTCATCTGGTAAGTTGATGTTGGGCTTGTTTGTTGATATTTTTATTGTTCAAAATATTGTTTATAGTTGAGTTGGTCACTTGACATATTCCAAAATATGTAGATAATGGTTAGATAGTATGAATACACATTTTTATTAAAATTAATTGTATTAGAAATAGTAAATTGTGAATTTATATGCAATGATTGTTTTAAATCCCAATAGCTGGATCAACTGATTGAAAAAAATCTATTAGTTATTAAGCAACTGATATTATTCTTAACTGATGATTGACAACAGTTAAACTACATCAGCTGTTTATGCTGTGGCCATATCAGGCATTATTTTAGCCCATCCATGTTGATGTTAGTCTTTGACTCTTGTAGGTTGATCCCTTCCACACACTGTTTGGACTAGCTGGGCTCTCATTACTAGGTGACACCACAGTTAAAGCAGTCAACCCAGTGTTTTGTATGCCTGAAGATTTGATCACAAGGAAAGGGTTACAGTTGCAGTACCTATAGCACTATCACATGCAATTCTATTTTCCTTCTGCAGGTGCAATATCATTTTAGATTGTCGCTGTTGGGCTCAATTAAATTGAATTGTCAAATATTTGTTACTTGTATTTTTTAACAAATCTTTGAGCCAAATTTTGTGTACATTTATATTGTCTTATACAAATCTAAAATACATCTACAGATTCTCTTGTCAGGTTTTAATTAGGAAAAAATTAGTGTGTTAAATTGTTTTATTTTTTCTATTATGATGATTGAGATAAAGAGGTTATATCTAGTGTAGTTTCTTTGTTGCTGCTTTAAAAAATTTTAATGTCTACCTGTTGTTGTAATTTCTCAAATTCAATCAAGCTTTTTCACATGTATAAAGATAAGATTCTGTTTTATATGTATTACATCATGTCATGTCATGTTTGCCTGTCGTCCCTACTGGGACATAGGCCGCTGACAAGAGCTTTCCAGACGTCTCTGTCCAGGGCTAGTCTCTCCAACTGTCCCCAGGTGTATCCAATCTTCTTGGTGTCTTCTTCCAGGTCACGTCTCCAGGTCTTTCTTGGTCTGCCTCTCTTCCTCCTGCCTTGTGGATTCCAGGTGAGGGCCTGTCTTGTTATGCTGGATACAGGCTTCCTGAGTGTGTGGCCAATCCATTTCCATTTTCTCTGGAGGATCTCTACTTCCACTGGCAGTTGATTTGTCCGTTGCCATAGAACATCATTTCTGATGGTTTTAGGCCAGCGAATTCGCAGGATCTTTCTGAGACATGCGTTTATAAATGATTGTATTTTCTTCTTATTTATAGCAGTTATTCTCCATGTCTCAGCTCCATAGAGTAAAACAGGTTTTACTAGTGTGTTGAAGATCCGGATTTTTATTCTAAGGGTTAAATCTCCCGAACCCCAAACATTTTTTAGTTGGTTGAAGACTGCTCTTGCCTTACCCGTCCTTATTTTTATGTCTGCTTCTGTCCCACCCTGCTTATCAACAATACTTCCAAGGTAGGTGAATCTATCCACTTCTTCTAGGGCTTCTTCTGCCAGTGTTATAGGGTTGTTGTTTGATGCATTGACTTTGAGAACTTTACTTTTCCCTCTGTGGATGTTCAGACCCAGGCTTGTAGAAAAATTTGCAACCCTGTTGGTTTTATCCTGCATTTGCTGTTGTGTGTGAGAAAGGAGGGCCAGGTCGTCAGCAAAGTCCAGGTCATCCAGCTGGCTCCACAATGTCCACTGTATACCGTTTCGCGTTTTCTCTGTTGACATCTTCATAACCCAGTCTATGGCCAGTAGGAACAGGAATTATATGTATTACAAGAATTCTAAAATTCTGTTCTACATGTATTATAAGAACAAAGTCTAAGATTCTGTTCTACATGTATTACAAGAACAAATTCTAAGATTCTGTGCTACATGTAATACAATAACAAATTCTAAGATTCTGTTCTACATATTACAAGAACAACTTCTAAGATTCTGTTGTACATGTATTACTAGAACAAATTCTAAGATTCTGTTCTACATATTACAAGAACAAATTCTAAGATTCTGTTCTACATGTATTACAAGAACAAATTCTAAGATTCTGTTCTACATGTAATACAATAACAAATTCTAAGATTCTGTTCTACATATTACAAGAACAAATTCTAAGATTCTGTTCTACATGTATTACAAGAAAAAATTCTAAGATTCTGTTCTACATGTATTACAAGAACAAATTCTAAGATTCTGTTGTACATGTATTACAAGAACAAATTCTAAGATTCTGTTCTACATGTATTACAAGAACAAATTCTAAGATTCTGTCGTACATGTATTACAAGAACAAATTCTAAGATTCTGTTCTACATGTATTACAAGAACAAATTCTAAGATTCTGTTCTACATGTATTACAAGAACAAATTCTAAGATTCTGTTCTACATGTATTACAAGAACAAATTCTAATGTGATCGTTTTTTTAGCAGGCAGGTGAAATGAAATCACCACAAAATAAGTTTTATTTAGTTCATTTTAATAAGTATTATGTCAGCCATTGTAAAATCCATTCCAAAGCTAACAAATATTACCATAACATACAGAATAAAAACTCTTCAGTGTGATAAGTCCAGAGCCTGTCTATTGGAAATTGTTTTTAAGTTTGTTCATTGTTTATACACTTGTTTTTGTTTGTTTTTTTAATTTGTTTTTTTAAATGCTGTAAATTATTGGTGCATTTCTCTGCTACAAAGTTGTCACTGATATTGAATGAAATATTAAATGTTTTATTCAATTTTTTAGTTAATTGTCCAATGCATTTTAGTGATAAATTTTAATGGATTTAAGAGAATTTACTTATTGAAGTTAGTGTATTGTGTAAATATGCCATGGATTATTTCTATTTCAGACATTAAATTACTGCTATTTAAAACAATGAATAAAGTGTGTTTTTTTTTTCTTCTGATGTGTTAGTTTATTAAGTTATAACATTTGGTTGGCCACGTATGTAAGGCCATCTGAAAGTAAAATTTGGTTGGCCATGTATGTAAGGCCATCTGACTGGAAGTAAAATTTGGTTGGCCATGTATGTAAGGCCATCTGGAAGTAAAATGTGGTTGGCCATGTATGTAAGGCCATCTGGAAGTAAAATTTGGTTGGCCATGTATGTAAGGCCATCTGAAAGTGACTCACGACTGAAGAAATATTTTAACGGAAATCGCGAACAAAATTATACAACTGTACAAACAAAAAAGTCGAGATTAAAATCTATGCAGTAACTTAAAAATAGAAACAAACGGACATTCAAGAGCATCATCAAAACAAGGAAACTACAATAATTAAACAGTTACATTTTAATAATTAGTTAGGTTATAAAGAGTGCAATATTTCCTGTAAAAAAAGCTCTGGTTATTAGCGTAGACACGGTAGAAACCCGTCATGACGTCACTAGCAGTTAGGTTGACCGTGTCGGCCTGTTCTCCGGGGTTTAGGACACGCTTGACTGAACAAGGGGACGCGACCCGGCCCTGCTTCAGTTCACAACACAATAGTGAGTACTGGGCGTCCTTCACACCGTAGTCATAATGTCTTCTAAACCCTTGCACCGCCTTCCACCCCTCGCACTCGAGCTCCCAAGTGCTGTTCTCGGCATACAAGCCATCTGCAATTAGATTCGAGGACGTCAGTTGAGAACATGATATTCTAGTTCATTTCTGTAACTTCGATTTTACGTCGACAACAACTATTCAGGGTCGCGAACATCTACAAACACAGAGACTGAAAGAAATTTGAACGCCTGAGCAGATATTGAACGCCTGAGCAGATATTGAACGCCTGAGCAGATATTCAACGCCTGAGCAGATATTGAACGCCTGAGCAGATATTGTTCGTGTTTGTCAAACATAACCTACGGCCCCATCTCCCAAGCTTTATATCATTAACACTCTTGAATAAGTTGAGGTTATATTGGGGGAGGAGCTTCAAAATTGTTAGAGTATACTTTGGCTGAGACAGAGATGAGTAAAAATGTCGCATTTAAAAATGTGTGCGCGATCCTTTATTTAGGAATTGTCCTATTAATGTTTTGACATGTTCAGACACAGAAGACAGACCTGTTGGTACACAATCGAGTGTAGCCTCAACTGTCCTGCAGCCAACTGTCCAGACGACGGGGCCAGTGGGTTTCCCCCGGACCGCCGTCAAGTGGGTGACAACGCTCTGACCACGACAGGACAGGCTGAACGGCTCGCCGTCCTTGTGCTGGACTCTGTACACGTCCCAGTGGCTCACCTTGCTGCGGTACATGCTGACTGCTAGCGTGTACACGAGGCCTACATGCAATATCTTGCCTGACCTAATTAGCCCACTAGATGCGCTCATTGCTAATGTCAGTAGTACACGCAACATGCTCATTTGTACGCGAAAAAAAATAATTTGAATACAAATGTATCACTTCCCACTTTCCATAAACAAATTATGATGAGGCAGGAAGTGCGGTCGCAGCTCAATTCTCAAGCATTTATGGTGCCCAATAGTGCGTTTGGTCACTTTGAGAGTCGGCTGAGCATTGTCCAAACATGAGAATTAAGTTGGTATGGGCATGCCACAAGATCAAACGACATATCCAAAACAATATTGCAAGGTACTGGAGGGAAAAGAAGAAAGACAAAGATGGCACTGAATGGATGGCATCAGTACTCATGGGGAGGTTTCTGCGGAAGATTTTTTTACAAATTCGCAGGGTGGCGCCCCGGCATGGCGCGATACGATTCTTCTCTATGTACGGTATATAAAAATAAAGGTCGATTGCGGTTTGACACCGTTCTTCCGATCGCCATCAAACTTTGGGTAGTTGATTAGAACAGCCCAAGGGAGGATTCTGCTAAAAAAAAAAATATTAATTTTCGCTAGGGCGGCGCCCAGGGAGGTTGTGATTTTCTCTATATACGGTAAATTAAAAAAAGAATAAAAGCTGGATGCGGTTCGAAACCGTTCGTACGAGTGCAATGAAACTTTGAGGAGTTGATGAGAATACTCCCAAGAAGGTTTCGGCGGGGGAAAAAATATTGCACGGGCGGCCTTCGGGAGAGTGCGATTTAGATTCTCTTTCGGGTGACGCTACGGGGGTGGGGGGGGGGGGCACGTAGAGTCACCTGAAAGAAACTCTAAATGAGGCTTTTGTCATGTTTGAGATTAGGTGCAAGGTTTAGGGGTATGGCAACGACTATATTTAGTATCGTTATACAGTAACTACGTGTAGATCAAACTTGAATTCAATTAAAATGCCGATTCTGGATAAAAATCCGTTTTCAATGAAATTTTTCGTTTCCGGTTAAATTTGAAGTTGAGGTGGTGATTTTCGTTTCGGCTTCGATTTAGAGAAATAGACAACACTATCAACCTAGCGCTCGTTGTATTTCTCCCTCAACGGGCCATTTATCTCGTTATAGATATCAGCAAACAACATGAATGCCTGCTAGGTAATTACAAAATAACACAAATAGAAAGACAATTTTAAAATTTGCAAATTTTAAAATTGTCTTTATTTTTGCTATGCTCACGTTAAAAAAATCCAGCTCAGTACTTATCCTACACACTTTATTTTTTTAATGTTGTACGAAAGATAATGTCAGCTACACGTTTCCCAGCTAATAATACGCTCGGCCCTGCTTTGGTAATAACTTTGGCCACAGCGTGTTTACTGATGCTTGCGGCAGCAACTGCCCCACCGGCAACAGCAAATACCACATCGACAGCTCCCTGTATTAGTATATTTTTAAACCGATTCTTGCAATCCTCCTCTTTTTTTATGGCATCTGAAATTAGCGTTTTGAGCTTGTCCACTAGTTCAGTGAGCGTCGCGTCAGTTTCGATAGACCGCAACAGTGTTTGAGCGTCGTCCTTGACGCTGAGTGCAGCTTGTGGGTTGGTTTCTTCAACAGTAATTCTATCTAAGCGGTTCTGTAGTGAATTGATTTTAACTTCGATTTGTTTTCTTTTACATTGCTCTCTGAAACGTAAGATATTGTTACGTAAATCAAGCATCTGCTCCTTCAACCCACTCCAGTCAGGTGGTTTTAGGTTATCTGATTCTCCTTCACAAGTTTCTGGCATGTCTTTTTGCATGATTATGTCGATTGTTTCTTCATGTTTTCTCAATTCTTCTTCAAATACATCGATATCTTTTAACTGACAATCTTGAAATGTGTATTGCCACAGTTTATTTTGTAGTTTCTTTAATTTTTCTTCCAGTTCCTTGAGGGTTTGAAATTCTCTGGCGTATTTGAGAAATTTCTGAAAGCGTTGAATAACCCGCAGACAGTTAGACCTGGTGTCTTGCAGGAGACTCGTCTCACCTGGTGCATAGAACACACCGTCGTCTGCTTGGTCGACCTGTGCCAACAGCTTTAAGGCTTTGTCTAGAACCGGCTTTATCTTTTTCTCTTCATGCTCTTGATACAAATCATCCGTGTCTCCTTTGATCTCACTAAGGCGTGTCTGGAACTGCGTGACTACCTCTGGCAGTCTGGCCTCCAACAATAATCTTTGATGTCGGGGTTTTGCTTCCAAAAATTTTTCTTTAGTATAGCTCGCATCCAAAGAATTAGCGAAGCTAATCAATTTTTTGAATTGTCGCTCCATGACATTTGGTAGATTCTGTTTGTTTGAAAACAAAACAACCCTGTCTGAAGAAAGCTGAAACAACTGCTTTAAGTCACCCTTGGCACTCCTACACCAGGCAGTGAATGTCTCATCTGACCCGCCTCTATTCATTTTAAATAGCTCACCAAGCGTTATAGCAATAATACAAAACTTTTTAAGAAAATCTTCACCAAAAACATTTGTAAGTATGTAAAGAGATTGCCTATTTTCTTCAGTAAAACGCTCTCCATATTTCAGCACTAAGACTAGGCATCGCCTCCCATCCTCTGGACAAAGACCAACGGCTTCCACCATTTCTCTGCACGTTTTTTCTTTGGCCTGGTCACTGTTGACCTTGGTGTCCATGGAACCAGGTGTGTCTACAACAGTGACGGTGTAGCCATAGTTTGTTCCTTGATGGTGTGCAGGTTTCGCTGTCTGCGACTCACTGCTGTCACTTTCTACAAACAAACTCTGCCCTAAGATGGAATTAGCTGTGGCACTTTTCCCAGTTCCAGTTTTCCCAATCAATATAAATGTGTAATCATTCGTTCGTTTTTCAACTGTAGATGCCATTCTTACCTACCGAAAAAATGAAGCAATTGATTTTCCTCAGTTGAGCTTGAATATGTATACCATAAAAACAAAACAAAAGACACAATCACTTTTTTTTCAATAATTCATCATAAATACACTCTGAAGGCTTATGAGAAATTGGAAGAAGTGTAAAGTCCAACTTCCGACTACCGGAAAAATCGCTCAAAGTTTGATAATCATCTAGGTAGAGTGTAGAGGATCTAATCAGTGTTTCTTCCAGACTTTTTTCCGGGTGGGGGGGGGGGGGGGGATCAACATATATAAATTCCATTTCGTTCGGGATGGGGGGGGGGGGTGGTAGATCTAGATCTAGTGCCTGGAAGATAATCTGGATTTAATACTAATAAATTTCGTACACCTAACTGAAACGGTACTCAAGTTAATCTTTTCACGGACAGTCAGACACAGAGACAGAGAGAAACGACAGGAAACAGAGACAGTCAGGAAGAGAGGCAGACAGAGAGGCAGAAAGAGAGGCAGACAGAGAGGCAGACAGAGAGGCAGACAGAGAGGCAGACAGACAGACAGACAGACAGACAGACAGACAGACAGACAGACAGACAGACAGACAGACAGACAGACAGACAGACAGACAGACAGACAGACAGACAGACAGACAGACAGACAGACAGACAGACAGACAAAATACAAATTGTCTAGGTCCAAAATTAATCCTACCACAAACATAGGCGACTTGTTATTCGAAACACTTGAAAACTGTTCTTAAGGCGTCCGTTTCTGTAAGCACACATGCGTGTATACGTGTCAACGTTTGCAATCTGGTTGACGATTTAAATGTTCAAAATGTAAAAGCCAGGTAAATCTTAGTTGAATTTCACAGCTTGGGAAGTTTAACTGACGTGTTTGAAAAAGGCTATTTTTAGGACAATGCTTTCGCTGTGCTGGTTTGAGTAAGAGCAACATTTAGCTGGCTGGAGTTTGTTACAGAGGCGGAACTAGAAAAAAGGGCCACCCCGCAAAAAAAAATTTTGGGCCCCATATATATATATATATATATATATATATATATATATATATATATATATATATATATATATATGTGAGCGGGTGAATGGATTTTTTTGTATTATTTTATTTGTTGCGAATCTGGGAGTGCATGGTGGTCCAATGGGGAACAGCACGGGGTCCCCCTTCCGCTCGAAGCGGTCAGTATAAATTGACCGCTCGGAGTGATTTTCTTCCTTTTTTTTGACCCGCGGCGATATGTAGGTCGGGTCAGGTTTCTGCGTGGCGCACCGCACGCGTGGAGGTATTTGTTTTTTTATACTTTATCTTTATGTGATTTGTATGAATGCGACTGACGATGTTTCTCGTTTTCTTTCATTTTCGTCTAAAACGAGATAGTGAGCATCGGCAGGTCTGGTATGCACGTGGTGTGTTATTTTGTTATTTTGAATTAAAATGTATTTTTGATGTTTTCTAAACCCTTGGCGTGTGTTTCGGACCACGTGGTTTAGGCCAGTGTGTTTAGGAGTGTTTCCTAAACTAGTGTGAATGCGTGTGTGCATTTACTTGATTGTTTTATGATGTGTTGTTATTGACTAGGATCGGCTTAGTCAATAGTCAGTTATTTTAGACAGTAATTAGATTTGTATATTTTAGTTGCCTCGAGTTTTAGGTTGTTTAAAATTAATGTGTGTGCTTTTTCGTGCAACGTCATGTTGAGTATCGCTTGCTTTGTGTCTGCCTTCATTGGGGCCTTAGCGGAGTGTGTTAACTTTAATGTTATCAATATAGATGTTGTTTATGTAGACCAATTGCTTCGAGCTGCTCCTTGTGTAGGAAAGATTGGTTCTACAATGAATTTGTTTACACGTTATTTTTAAGTTGCTAGTTCTTCTTTAGACAGTGGTTAGTTGTTTTTGAGAATTGCTTTTAGAATTGTCTAGTAAGGATTAGTTTTACTCGAGGCTTTAGCTAGATAGAAGTAGTAGGTAGCATTTTGAACTTGTGTATATATTTATGTATATATCTGCCATTACCATGCATTTTTCTTATGTTTTCCTTTTCTTTTTCTCTCCCCCCCCCCTTCCGGTGAGGTTGCTTGTGCAACTTGGCTGGGTGTTTTGTTATATATGAATTGTTTTGTTTGGTGTAAAAAGTTTGTTGTGTACGTATTGTGTTTTACGTAATGTATTGTACGTAGTGGTTTTACGTAGTGTTTTGTTTGGTGTGGACTTTTGGATGTCGAGAATGGATGAAGGGAGGTTTCTGTGTGTCAGGGCCTGGACCATCCTAGACATCATAAGTCGGCGCAACACCAGCAAATGGTCAAACGTAATGTTTTGTTTGATGTAAAAAGTTTGTTTCGTTGGTTCTGTTTTGTGTCAGTTTTTTTATCTATTCTTTTTTTATAACTTTTGGTTCCATATTTTGTTGAATAAATTTTATACTAGTCATTCTTGGTAAATAAATTTTATTAACTGTAAAAGTTTTTGTTTTATTTTAGTAGCTTATTATTTAGACTAAGGTTAGGGTTTAACCACTGTGGGTTCTACCACGGTTGCACTGACCGGACAGTAGTTAAGTAGATAAGCCTAGGGAAGGGTAGGGTAGATTTTAAGGTATCCCCCCCCCTAGCAGGGCTTATATATATATATATATATATATATATATATATATATATATATATATAAACTAAATACGAAAATATGATCATAGAATACTCAATACGCAGTGGCGCAGGCAGGGGGGGGGGTTAGGGGTTTATAACTATTGACTTGTGTCGATATTGTTTAGATCTTAAACACTAAACACTTAAGCCTGGCAGCCTCTAGAACAATAATGTACATCATTGTGATGAGAATTTCCTGTAGAATTTAGTTACGATTTTTATTATTGCACTAAAGTAATGTATAATAATCTGGAACGCAGTTGGCCAAGGTTAGATCAGTTAAGGAGTGTCGAATGGGGAGGGGTGGGCTACGTGGGTAGGCCTTTGTTGTCTAATATGTTTGTAGTGCAACCGGAAAGTGTCTAGAAATTAAAAAAACAACGACAAAGAAATTGTTTATTATTCGCATTGAGGTTCTATAATGTGTATGTTTTTACTACTTCAAAACATTTGAAATTCATTTCACTAATGGCGGATGAAACAGGGAAACTGAAAACTATTTAATTTTTAAAAAGATAAGTAAACTGAAAATGATAAAGATGGCAGAGGACACAAGGTTATCAGTTAAAATGTGTGACAGGGGGGTGAGGGTGGGTTTGAATATTGGTACGTCTCAATTATGAAATACTACCGGATGTACATCTGGCAGAAAAGCGTGGGCTTGACCCACAATTGTTGACACAAAACTTAGTGTTGGTACATATAAAAACTGCGTAGGTGGTTAAATATAGATGTAGAGCCAGGAACCTACAGCAGTCATTTTAGACAGTCAGAAAAGAAAGACCAATAATTATTTATTTTCTTATTCGCATAGTCGTGTTTTAATGTGTATCTTTTTGCTACTTCAAGCAATTTAAGTTCCTTTTAATGGTGTCGGATGGAAAAAGGAAATTAAAAACTACTTTATTAACTGATTTCTTTACAAAGAAAAGTAAAACTGAAAATGATAAAAATGAAGATGGTACTATTGCTTCTCAAACTATATTACATCAAGAAATTTCCATAAATTCAGCACCTTTGACTGTTTCTTATGCAAATGATATCGGCAATTTTATCCAAGGAGTTATAACAGATGATACACGGTGTATTTATTAGAAAACATCTGGCGTCCTGATGAACTTTTTAAATTTCCAGCAAGCGGACAAAGAAATTTAAAGTTTCAATATTCGTGGCTACTTAGGTGGAACTGGTTGACTTATTCCAAATTACTTGATGGCGCATTTTACAATTATTGTGTTTTGTTTAGTTTGAATTATAGTGGTGTAGGTAGTCAGCCTTTAGGTAAGTTATCAAAAATTTCATTTTCAAACTGGAAAAGGGCAACAGTCACGTTTAATGAACACCAGCAATGTGAATATCATAAAAGAGCAATTTTACTTTCCCAAAATCGTAAATCGGTTATGGAGAAAAAAAATAGAACCTATTAACATCGCCTTGAACTCATCATTAAGTAAACAAATTCTAGAAAATCGTTTAAGGTTAGCGCCCATAATCAGAGTTTCTTCCAGGCATCTCTTCGGGTGCCCCCCCCCCCCCCCCGAAAATTTTTACCGCCCCCCCCCCCCCCCCGAACGAAATGAAATTTATATAATTTATATAGAAAATATATACTTTTAACAGTGTCCGCCCCCCCCCCCCCCGAAGAAAGTCTACCGCCCCCCCCCCCCCCGAAAATTTCAAGTGCCCCCCCCCCCCCCCCGGAGAAAAAAGTCTGGAAGAAACACTGCCCATAATAGAAACTATATTTTTTTGCGGCCGACAAGGTCTTGCACTTAGGGGGCACAGGGATTTCGGAAATCTTCACTTGGAGTATTCTGATGAAAATGATGGAAATTTTCGAGCTCTTTTGAGATTCAAAGCCATGGGTGTAGACGAAACACTTAAACATCATCTAGAAAATTCTTCAAAAAAATGCAAGATACTTAAGTCCCACCATTCAGAATGAAGTGATAAATGTGTGCAATAAATTAATTGTTCAAACGATTGTTGCGAAAATTACTTCTGTCGAATTGTTTTCTGTCTTAGCCGATGAAACTAGTGATATAGCTGGTATGGGGCAATTTTCGTTATGTGTTCGCTACTATGATAACGACATAAAGAAAATAAGGGAGGATTTCATACAGTTTGTAGGTGTAACTGATCTATTATTAATATTTCTTTTTTACTTGTAGCGTACTTTCATACATTTAAGATGGTTTTTTTTACTTTTGCTTAGATCTAATAAAAACGTCTAAATAAAAAAATAAAATAAAAAACCAACCTGAAAATGCAAATGTGTAAGTTATAAATGATGATTCAAGGGATTTTTTTCCTCGGCGTCGTGGGTAGGGGGGGGGGGTGGAATTTGGGGTTTTAAGTAGAGCTGAAATAATTTTGGGATTACAGAGAATTAAAATGATACAAATTTTAACACATTAATTCTTCCCCCCCCCTCCCCCCGAATCAGACATGTGATTTGCAGCGTCAGTTGTGTGTTCGCTTTAGAATCACAGTTTTCATCATCGGCTTGTGAGGACTGATACAGATTTACAATAGTAATATTTTTTAGCACAATTTCCATTCTGGAGAATTGCGTTTATTAACTCGTCTTTTCTGGGAATGGATGGATGGATGTATGAATGTGTGTCCGGGCTTTAAGTCGTATCTCCTCCTCAACGAAGCAATATCGATGACTAGTTCCAAAAGCAATTATGTTAAGCAAGTTACGAGAATGAACATAGGCCATAAAAATTCCGGGTTTCTTTCATGGATTTCCACGAAAAGCCAAAAAACCTCGAAAAAATGCAGTTTTTGGCCCATATCTCGGCAACCAAACAACTTAGCGACTTGAAACATGTACCAATCGATTCCTGCCATAATTAAGAACAATATTGCCGAAGATAGTTTTTAAAAATATCCTCTAGTTCGGTCACAAATTTTAAAATTACATAAACACCTACAAACCGATCGTTCTTCTAGCTTGAACGCATCCCAGCATTATACGTCAGAGCTATTTTTAGATAACATAAGGAAATTGCGCATAAATGTCACTAGACTTTTTTAATTAACTTGTTTCTTACTTGTAGCCTACTTTCATTTATTTAGGATGGTTTACTTATACATAGTCTTTATTGAAATTCTCTTTTCATGTCCGCCATAGTACCTCCAATTATACAAGTTGGTCAAAAGAATATGAAGCATGAAAGCTTTGTAGTTTTAATGGTTTCTCGCCATATGTTTATTTTAAAGTTTTTTATATTTATATTATTGGTTTTAATACATTTCTTTTTATACTATGTCATTCTTTATTAAATATTTGTTAAAAATAATAATTAAGAGAAGTAATTGCTTTTTAGTTTGTTTAGTGCAAAAAAATAAAATAACTAAGAGCACACATATTTGACTATTTAAAAAAGGGAAATAAGTCATGGAAGTGGTTTGAACGTTTGCCTATCTTTCACACTACAACTCATGCAGCTATATATTTTTTTTGCTTTACGAAACGGCGTGTGTTAGCTACTGTAGAACATAACTTATGTAGTAGATCAGTTGTTTTTTTTACAAGAAAATAATTTTTTTTTTTAGTTATAAAAAAATTGATTATCGTCGCCTGTGGGCCCCTAAACGGCCTGCTCCCCCCCCCCCCCCCCGCATTGCGGGGTCTGGCGGCACTGTAGTTCCGCCCCTGGTTTGGTAACAGCTGTCATGCAATCGATTGCGACAACGCGGCTGTATTCTAGGGCTTTGTTGTGGATATATTGGGCGGAGAAAACACTGTAACTCGTACTGTAATTCAGCACATTTTTGTATGGGATTAAACTAAAGCGTTGGTTTAAACCGTAGCCTAAGTAAGTTGGACTTATTTATCAATTTTAATAACTTTAAACTTTTGATGTTAACTTTGAGTTAACACAATGATTCACAAGTTTTTTTTCTTTTAACAGCTTATAGACATTGTATTTTTTTAAAAACCCTTTTCTAAACTGATATATTTATATATTAACCTTTAATTAAACGTTTTTACTTTTAAATTTTAGGAAAACAAAATGGAGGTCAGCTATGACTATGTTTACCTGTTGGTTGGTAAAACTGGCTATGGTAAAAGCTCAACTGGGAATTCTATTCTGGGAATGAAGAAATTCGTTAGTGACGACAGCGGGGAATCTGTGACCTCAAGCGTGGACGTTGAGACTTGTGTCCGTCACAGGTACCGAGTTTGTGTCGTCGACACTCCGGGTGTGATGGACACAGTGACGGACAGTGTCGGGGCGCTGGGTAAATCGTGTGATGAAATGAGATCAGCCATGAGCGTCTGCCCGACACACGGCAACATGGCCATTGTTTTGGTGCTCAAATATGGGGAAAGGTTCACACAAGAAAATAAAAAAGCGGTCGATGTTCTCAAAAATATATTTGGTGAAGAAAATTTAGCAAAGTCATGCCTTATCCTAATGACACATGGAGAACTGTTTGAGATGTCACATAATGACATGTCATTTGACGAATGGTGCAGGAAACAGACAGGGGAACTCAGTGCCTTATTTCGGCTCCTGACGTTCAAATGTGTTCTCTTCCATAACAGCACTCAGGACCAGGAACAAAAAGAAAAACAATTCCAGCAGCTACTGCGGTTTACGGATGAGCTTGATCAGAGTTATACCGCAGCCAAATTCCAAGAACTCAAGAAGAAGCAAAACCGCTTGATGTTGGTTAGTAAACTACCGGGCTTGAAGAAAGAGCTGTCTCTAAACATAGCTTGCCTGTCTGCAAAAGTAGACCGGGTACAGGCAGACGTAAGCCAACAAGAGTCTGTGAACGTGGAGAACGTGAGTCATAGATTAGACGTGTGCAGTCGCCAGCTGGCAGATCTGCTGCAGACGATACTCAGGGAAGATAACCCTGAGATTATATTCTATGACGTAGGAGAGCGCCAACTCTTGCATGACGTCAGAGATCAGACTGACAGCCTAGCAGAAAGAATAGCCACCTCCCAGAAGGATCTTGTGCTCATACAACAAGCCTTGACATGGCGGGGAAAAATGGCGCTCCTCCAGTTGGAAATTGAAAGCACCTTTTGTCTAAATGATTGCCGTGTACTGAGGGCGACATGGGATCAAATGTCGAGCAATATTGAACAAATAAAAAACAATAAGTTTGTTTATTCTGAGGCAACTACCAAGCTGAAGCAAATGAAAGAAAACTTACTGATTTTAGAAGGGCATTTGGAATGTCGAGATTACAGGGAGAAAATTGAGAGGAAAATAAAAGAATTAGAGGACAAAGTTAGGGCTTTAAAGTTGCCTACGCTTGTCTCAATATATTCATCATTAACTGAAACGGCCAATCAAATTGAAGCGGAAATACGAAATTACCAATTCCCAAGACAGTTGGATGATCTATCTCGGCGACTAAAAGACTTGAAAGTGACAATTGGCTACCGTAAGGTAGACAACGATATGACCATAGGATGGAGAGTGACATCAACGACTTTGTCTGTAGCGTCTATTGGTGTGGCACTAGTACCTGTAGTTGGAGTCCCGCTAAGTATTGGTCTAAACGTGCTGCCTCTCATTGGCCAAGCAATTCACAGAAGCGTTGTACGGCGCCAAAGACAATGAATGAGATGAATATGGATGAGCTGAACTCATTCATAAAACAAGTGGGAGATAAAGCTGATAAAGTAGTTATGTCCTGGGAGGGTAGTCATCAGAACAATATAGATTTACATGGTGAAGAAAGGTGTATGAATTAGTCTTTGATGGATTGTTGATTTAAAATAAATGGACCAAAGCATTAACTGGTTTCCGGTGGAGGGTAAATGGATTGTTAATTAAATTGGAACAAAGCAATGCTACAGCCGTTTACCTCAAAGCCTTAGTCTACACGGAGCAGCAAAACATTACCTTATCTTACACAAAAACATGACAATTATCTTACACAAAAACATGACAATTATCTTACACAAAAACATGACAATTATCTTACACAAAAACATGACAATTATCTTACACAAAAACATGACAATTATTTTACACAAAAACATGACAATTATCTTACACAAAAACATGACAATTATCTTACACAAAAACATGACAATTATCTTACACAAAAACATGACAATTATCTTACACAAAAACATGACAATTATTTTACACAAAAACATGACAATTATCTTACACAAAAACATGACAATTATTTTACACAAAAACATGACAATTATCTTACACAAAAAACATGACAATTATCCGCCCCCACCCCCCTCCGAAAAATGTTGACCGCCCCCCCCCCCCCCCCGAAAATATCAAGTGCCCCCCGGAGAAAAAAGTGTGGAAGAAACACTGTTGTTGCTATCTAACATTATTTGTTGCTATGTAATAGCATTATTAGTTGTGTTGCTATGTAACTATGTAAAATGTTTGAAAGGAGAAGAATGCTAAACTATTCCTACCTACTCTCCCCTAAATGGAATCAAACGGGGTGGACTATCGACTGGGCTGTTAATCTATATATATATATATATAAATATAATACCTACGGACCATGCGGGACACCACCACCACCACTACGTAAGCGCGTCTAGTAGCCTCCTCCCTTTCTCTCTAGGCATATCGCTACCAACCCACCCCACCAGTCTGGTGAGCTGTGGTTCACACCAAATGTTTACAATCGTGAATCCGGTCAAGTTAGTGACGGCTATTAGGGGCAGATAATTTCAGTTTTTAAACGATTTGAAACTTAAGGGTGGTAACTAAGAGAAGGGAAGGCTGCTTTTACGGGGGGGGGGTTGTTGACATGGAATAAAAATTTGCTTTTAGATTTAGGACCGTAAAAATAATAAAAGATAAAATTTTATTAAAAACTTAAGCCTAAAACTAATTCAGAAATTTAATATTTTTAGAATCAATGCTATACAAGTTGCAGATCCAGAGAATTTGAAAATAATTTGTTGAGTTTAAACCCCATGACCTAGTTTTTCTTTTTTTTAGCTTACAATATGTACAATACAATTTATGGCGGCCTATCGAATAGCAGGATGCCATTGTTTATGTCGCCATTACACGTGAAAACCAAATTGTTTTTGCTTTTTTTTTTTTTTATTTAGTTACCGAAAATATTAACAACATCAAATATATCCAATTTTTAGTGAAGTCCGAAAAAAAAACAGGCAGGATTTTATAACCATATCAATTGTAACTACGCCGGGCATGATTTTTATATTAATTTATGGACCTCTCAAATACTTTTGAGACTTTTCTTGCTGGCGTCCATTACCGAAAAGTAGAAAATAATCGCGGCGTATTGTACGTCGCGGGTAGGTCCGTTTAAATTATTTTAAAATCGAACAGGGGCGGAACTACAGTGCCGCCAGACCCCGCATTGCGGGGGGGGGGGGGGCACGCCATTTAGGGGCCCATCGCCGACCATAATAAATTCTTTATAGTTTAAAAAAAATAATTTTCTTGCATTTTTGACTTGACGGTAAAAGCTTTTGTAAATAAAAAACAGATCTACTACAGTAGTGATGTTATACAGTAGCTAACACATGATGTTGCGTTAAAAAAAAAAACTATATGCCTGAGCTGTAGTGATAGGCAAACGTTCAGAACACTTCCATGACTTATTTCCCATTTTTAAATTGTAAAATAGGGGTGCTCATAAGCTCCTTTTAATATATTTGTACTAAACAAAAGAAAAAGATATTACTTTTCTTAGTTATTATTTTAAAAAACATACTAAATAATGACATAGCATAAATTGGAAATATATTTAAAACAAATAATATAAATACAAAACAAGGTAATTAAAAAGTCTAGTGACAATTTTAGCGCAATTTCCTTATGTTATCTAAAAATAGCTCTGTCGTAGCGTAAATCAAGAGCAGGGTTAGTAAAACCATTGGTTAGTTATTAAAACGTTTTTTATTAATTTTTTTCAGTATTTTACATGTTTTATTTACAATAGAGTTACATGACTAAAAACCATTGCGCGCCTACTGAACGTGATGGCGCAGCCATGGAACGCGATGGCGCAGCTATTGAACGTGATGACGCGTGTGGTGTGGTTGGAAAAAATGCCTACTAATTCGGTCCAAATTTTAATTAATTCAAAATTTTTTTTGTGACCGAACGAAAGGATATTTTTGAAAACTTTCTTCGGCAATATTGTTCTAAATTATGGCAGGAATCGATTGGTACATGTTTCAAGTCGCTTAGTGGTCTGGTTGCCGAGATATGGGCCAAAAACTGCATTTTTTCGAGGTTTTTTGGCTTTTCCGGGAAATCCATGAAAGAAACCCGTAATTTTTATGGCCTATGTTCATCCTCGTAACTTGCTTAACATAATTGCTTTTGGAACTAGTCATCGATATATATATATATATATATATATATATATATATATATATATATATATATATATATATATATATATATATATATATATAATTTTAAATACTTTTATTTGCGATTAAAACAAGTACATTTTGCAAATGTTTATAATGAATATTTACATGATGTCATGTATTTGATTATAAAAAAAAATTTGCAAAGGATGACAGTAAAAGGGGTGAAGGTCAAATGAAAGTGTCAGAAGTCTGGGTGGGGAGAGGAAAGGAAATTTTTCAGAGAGTGTCAATGGGACAGTGAAGCATTTTCTATGTAGGGAAACAACTTAAGTTGACTAGTTGAAAGGGTGTTGTAGTGGTCGCATTGAGTTTTCAAAAGGTTGCAGTGTGAAAGATGAGGGGAAAGAGACAAGATTTAGAACTTTAAATAAGTTCTGGATATTGATGTTGCGGTGGGTGGTGGGGTCGTTGGAACAGTTAAAGGGATTTTGGGGTTATCATGTCTGGGGGTAAAGTGGATAGAGGGGGAGAGAGGAGGGGGTAATTTTTTTTTTTTTTTTTTTTTTTATTAATTCAATTGTTTTAAACATTTAAATCAGTAATAATAATATATTTGATAGATTTTACATAGCATCAAAGACATGAACAATGAACATCAATTGCATATATAATAATCAAAGGGAAAAAATAAAATGGCATAAGAACTAGATTAAAATAAGGTGTGCAAACTAGGTTTCTCTTCACTGCTTAGTTTAGTGTGCTGCGGAGTCAAAAGTTCACACTGTAGCCACCCATGGACAGAAATAGAAACGACTGTGGGCGAAGGGTCTCTGTAATCACGTACTGATCTATCATTCCAAAACTTTCCATGACATAAAATTGACCCTTGGCAATGAGGGCACGCTACCTTGAAATGTCCGCCAGTCCGGTTGAGTGGGGGGGGGGGGGGGGAAGTGTGTGTGTGTGCTGGGGGGGGGTTGAGGTGGGTATCTCTTTCTACCATTCAGGTTGTGCATTTTAAAACCCGGGAAACAGAAGACTGTTCTAATGTTAATTTACTTGGGGGTTGATCGAGTGATGTTTGGCTTGAGACTGTCTAAATTAAAATTAATACTTTATTTATTTCTTTCCTGTATATTTCTTTTTTTTCTCAGTTAAGTGAGAGTTCCCAGTCTATGTCTAAGCTTTGCTTGAAATATTTCTTTTAACTCGATGTCCGTGTATTTTGTGAAAAAAATATCTGAGTTTATTCCTAATTTGCCATATAGTCGATCTATAAATAGCCATTGCTACTAGTCTGTTTTCGTCTTCTGTTCTTTGTCTAGTCGTGTTAATTAAATTAAGTGTGATTGCTTTATTTGTTGTGGCTGTTTGATTGGTGGTGTTTAATATTTTCGCAAGTGTTTGCTTTGTTTTCTGTACTAATATACAATCTAAATAAATTTGTTTCTCAGTTTCTTGTATATTTTGTTTACACGTTTGACATGTTATTTTAACATTTTGATTTGACTTTGTATTTCGTGAAACTGGAGTTGTGTTAAAAATCAGTCTGTATGCTATTTCCCTTTCTTTTGGTGTAATGCGTTTATTATGTAGGTTTCTAAATGTATCTTTAATGTCTATTATGTTGTGTTCCCTGGCCCAACTAATTCTCGTGTATATATATATATATATATATATATATATATATATATATATATATATAGGCCTATATATATCTAATATATAAAGCTCAGTTCTGTATGTAATGCATATGTTTGTCGTTGGTCTTGGATGAATTTAAGTGTTAGAAAATTATCGTGCGCATTTGTCTAAATTTATGAGCTAAAAAATTACTATTGAAAGTGTTGGGAAATAATTTTCATTTTTCAAATTATAGTAATAATTGTCGGCATGTTCATTAAATACAAGTTTTAAAAAAATATCATCTTTTACAAAAATTCTAATTATGTCTTTATTTAGTCCTATAGCACTTACTTCCCTTTGATAAATTTGGAAAACAAAATTACTTCCCTTTATAAAACCATTGCATTTTGTGGAAAATAATTTACTTTTTAATTACTTTGTTTTGGTGTTGGGAAAAAAAAATTACATAATTAGCGGGGATTGATCAAGTGCAAATGTTGTAGGTATTTTACGGATAAGCTTGGAGTATTAAAATTGTTCAGTAAATTGAAACAGGCGCGTTCGTTTAAGTGAGTGCAAAAGACTATGAATAAGTTGGGGTACTATAGTCGTTCATTAAGCTAAAACAGGTGATTCCGCCCCGGGCGTTTATGTTCGCGTTAGTGTTTTCTTTGTGTTTAGGTGGGTTTGCGTTAGTGGTTTCGTTTTGATTTGGTTCGTTTTTGTTCTTTCTTTTTTCGGTTTTGTTTGTGTTTTTTTTTGTTTGGGTTTGTATTTGTGTTTTTGGTTGGTTTTGCGTTTGGATTTGGTTTGTTTTCGTTTGCTTTTTCGTTGTTTTTTTTGTGTTGGTATTGGTGTTTGTGGTTGGGTTTGTTGTTAGGTTTTTGTTTTCGTTTGCTTTTTTGTTTATTTTTTCTTTGTGTTTGTATTGGTGTTTGTGGTTGGGTTTGTTGTTAGGTTTTTGTTTTCGTTTGTATTTGTAATTGTGTTAGCGTTATGTTTGCGTTTTGTTGTTTTGGTTGGTTGTGGTTTGGGTGGGCAATGCCGGGTTTATGATGATTACTAAACCCACAGGTAATGGTCTTTAACAGAAAGGTTTTTCACAGAAGCCAGAGCAGGGCCTGGCCGGGACGGCTAGTATATATATATATATTTGTTTAGATTGATACAATTTTTGTTTTGTCGGCCTACATTGTGTGTTTTTTCTTATTTCTTCAGAGTGCTACTTTCAATTTATTTTACATCATAGCGAAGTTATGACATACAGCTAGTAATTATATATATGCTATCATTGTAAGCCTAGCTGCACGTTGAGTTTCAGATAAGGGTTGAATAGACACATCCGAGTTTACTTCAGTCATTTATTTCCGTGGATGGAGGAGGGGGTGGGGGTGGGAAGAAGCACTTGAAATTTTGGGGTGGGGGGAGGGTAAAGTAACGGGGATGTTTGTTGAAGTGAATATTTAATACATACATTATACATATTAGCATTTCAGGTGGTGGTTTATCGTTGCAGGCCTATTATACTGTATTATGTGAGGTATAGACATTTTTTTTTCGCCGGCCTGGCGACGAAATAGTTCGCCAGGCTACTGCGAGGTAGGGAAAAAAATATATAAAGCACATTCTGAGCTGCATTACATAAGTGTGGTTAATAAAATAGATGGCTACTTGACTTAAAGGACTTCTTTAACATTTCTCTACATCAATTATGTGATATCATAATAAAAAAAAGGAAAACGACTGGTAAAAACGCCCCGACTTTCCAAAATTGGAGAGGGGGCGCATTTTAACCAACGTCAATATCTATATAAATGGCGGGGTGAGGGGTGCGCAAAGTTAATAGTTCCCCCAGGCACCGGAATCGGTCGCTACGCCTCTGCGATGAACACTGGTTAGAGAATGTTTTTTCAATGCAATTTTTAGCGCAATTTCCATACTGGACCATTGCGATTATCAACTCGTTATTTCTGGATGGATGGATGTGTGTCCGCAGCTTTTAAGTCGTATCTCCTCCTCAACGAAGCAATATCGAGGACTAGTTCCAAAAGCAAATATGTTAAGCATCCGATATATATATATATATATATATATATATATATATATATATATATATATATATATATATATATATATATATATATATATATATATATATATATATATATATATATATAATACATGTATATAGAACGTGCTAAAAATTCGGCGGCTTTTTGTGCTCTTTTCGATCCCCCCACTACGAAAACCTGGATACGCCTCTGGATGGCACTTTCAATGGAAACGGGCTATAGAAATGATGGGTAAGTTTGTGACTCGTTTGTCTGCCGAGAGAACACAGAGATCGAGTGGAAAAGTTCTCACGTTTGTCTTTCGAGAGATCTAGTAGTTAAAGTTATCAAGTTTGTCTGTCGAAAGAACACAGAGATCTAGTGGTAAAGTTCTCACGTTTGGCAGAAAATGGGGTAGATTTGGTGCCGTGTGGAATGGTAGGTTCGGATCCCGTTGGGTTCTGACTGTTCTGTCTTTACTTGGACTATATTCTGTACCTTTGTCTACCCTTGGCGTTGAAATAGAACGAAATTAGTGGTGGTTTAAGTTAGGATTTCATAGGTAACAAGACTAAAAAATGTCAAGATTAAAGTCGAGTGTTCAAAAATGAACAGAAACGTAGACTTCTAGTTATCTGCCTTTGCAAATATGTACCAACTTTTTTAAATGATTAGGCCTACATATCTATTTTTTAGAGCTTCAATTTTTATTACTTATTCGATACAAGACGAAATGTACCAATAAAGAAACGGGTTTTTATTATTAACAGCTGTAGTGACACATTATGTAACAAACAGTAGGCCTATAGGCCTGCTGTGACAGGACAAAATATCTTAAATAAATATTTTAGACAATTATCTCAAATAATTATCTGCGACCGAAAATCTCAGTCAAAATATACGAACAAAAATTTGGATGTTCATCAGTTTCTTACAGGCCCCCGGAGCCCCCCCCCCCCCCCCCCCCGAACACAATGGAATTTATATAGAAAATATTTACTTTTAACAGTAGTTTTAACAGTGTCCGCCCCTACCCCTGAAATTTTAGTCCGCCCCCCCCCCCCTCCCGAAAATTACAAGTGTCTTCCTAGGGAAAAAAAGTTTGGAAGAAACACTGATGTAGATGTGCTTGAAATCTTGATTACAAGACTGCAGGAAAACAGAAAAAAGAAATTATGTTATCAGATTGTAGGCTTCAAAAACACACCAAAGACTGGAAACACATTATCTCTGATGGTTGCACATCAGCTTTGTATTTCCGCACCATGACGCACAGACGCGGGCGAATGAATATGCAGAGCTGCATGTCTCAAGTAAAATTGAGGAAGTGTTTTTTAAATTTCAATGTTTCTTGACGTATTTTAAATTGTATATCCAAAAAGATAATGCATATTACCGCTGTTTTTTTTTTTGTGAACCTGACACCAGTGTAATAAAATGACCCCAGCGACAGTAGCATCAAGTCTTAGTAAAAAGTCTTAGTTCGATCCAAATACTAAACTGGGCGTAAAGTAGAGGTACTGTGGGATAAATGGACATGTGAAATAACTAGGGGTAATATAACTGTACACTGAGGCGATTGGTGGTTGAACACATAAATGGAGCAAACATAAGACTATTTTATCAAAATATTTAACCTCTCCACAACACCACAGTTAAGAAAGACTAAATACTATCAGTTAGCACTTAAGAAAAATAGCAATGCAACCCACCCTTTGAATAACAACATGATGTTATAACACTTCGTCCCCTAAGATACCCAATGCCGATTTTCCACGTTTAAAATCATGTTGGTAAAAAGTAGAACTTTTATCGCCATTATCTGTTAGTTGTAAAATAATTCATCAAAATTCTAATCAAAAGACAGACCATGAAATACGACGAAGTTTTGGAGGTTATTGGCGAGTTTGGAGCTTACCAGAAGTGGATGCTGTTCCTAGTGTGTTTACCCGTCATACCTATCGCCATGCAGTCCATGATAACAGTTTACATACTGGCCTCTCCCAACCACAGGTAGCTGTCCTCTACTGACATCTCCCAACCACAGGTAGCTGTCCTCTACTGACATCTCACAACCACAGGTAGCTGTCCTCTACTGGCATCTCCCAACCACAGGTAGCTGTCCTCTACTGACATCTCCCAACCACAGGTAGCTGTCCTCTACTGACATCTCCCAACCACAGGTAGCTGTCCTCTACTGACATCTCCCAACCACAGGTAGCTGTCCTCTACTGACATCTCCCAACCACAGGTAGCTGTCCTCTACTGACATCTCCCAACCACAGGTAGCTGTCCTCTACTGACATCTCCCAACCACAGGTAGCTGTCCTCTACTGGCATCTCCCAACCACAGGTAGCTGTCCTCTACTGACATCTCCCAACCACAGGTAGCTGTCCTCTACATACTGACATCTCCCAACCACAGGTAGCTGTCCTCTACTGGCATCTCCCAACCACAGGTAGCTGTCCTCTACTGACATTTTCCAACCACATGTAGCTGTCCTCTACTGAAATCTCCCAACCACAGGTAGCTGTCCTCTACTGACATCTCCCAACCACAGGTAGCTGTCCTCTACTGACATCTCCCAACCACAGGTAGCTGTCCTCTACTGACATCTGCCAACACAATGTAGCTGTCCTCTACTGACATCTCCCAACCACAGGTAGCTGTCCTCTACTGACATCTCCCAACCACAGGTAGCTGTCCTCTACTGACATCTCCGAACCACAGGTAGCTGTCCTCTACATACTGACATCTCCCAACCACAGGTAGCTGTCCTCTACTGACATCTCCCAACCACAGGTAGCTGTCCTCTACTGACATCTCCCAACCACATGTAGCTGTCCTCTACTGACATCTCCCAACCACAGGTAGCTGTCCTCTACTGACATCTCCCAACCACAGGTAGCTGTCCTCTACTGACATCTCCCAACCACAGGTAGCTGTCCTCTACTGACATCTCCCAACCACAGGTAGCTGTCCTCTACTTACATCTCCCAACCACAGGTAGCTGTCCTCTACATACTGACATCTCCCAACCACAGGTAGCTGTCCTCTACTGACATCTCCCAACCACAGGTAGCTGTCCTCTACTGACATCTCCCAACCACATGTAGCTGTCCTCTACTGACATCTCCCACCACAGGTAGCTGTCCTCTACTGACATCTCCCAACCACAGGTAGCTGTCCTCTACTGACATCTCCCAACCACAGGTAGCTGTCCTCTACTGACATCTCCCAACCACAGGTAGCTGTCCTCTACTGACATCTCCCAACCACAGGTAGCTGTCCTCTACTGACATCTCCCAACCACATGTAGCTGTCCTCTACTGACATCTCCCAACCACAGGTAGCTGTCCTCTACTGACATCTCCCAACCACAGAAAGCTGTCCTCTACTGACATCTCCCAACCACAGGTAGCTGTCCTCTACTGACATCTCCCAACCACAGGTAGCTGTCCTCTACTTACATCTCCCAACCACAGGTAGCTGTCCTCTACATACTGACATCTCCCAACCACAGGTAGCTGTCCTCTACTGACATCTCCCAACCACAGGTAGCTGTCCTCTACTGACATCTCCCAACCACATGTAGCTGTCCTCTACTGACATCTCCCACCACAGGTAGCTGTCCTCTACTGACATCTCCCAAACACAGGTAGCTGTCCTCTACTGACATCTCCCAACCACAGGTAGCTGTCCTCTACTGACATCTCCCAACCACATGTAGCTGTCCTCTACTGACATCTCCCAACCACATGTAGCTGTCCTCTACTGACATCTCCCAACCACATGTAGCTGTCCTCTACTGACATCTCCCAACCACAGGTAGCTGTCCTCTACTGACATCTCCCAACCACAGGTAGCTGTCCTCTACTGACATCTCCCAACCACGGGTAGCTGTCCTCTACTGGCATCTCCCAACCACAGGTAGCTGTCCTCTACTACTGGCCTCTCCCAACCACAGGTAGCTGTCCTCTACTACTGGCCTCTCCCAACCACAGGTAGCTGTCCTCTACTGACATCTCCCAACCACATGTAGCTGTCCTCTACTGACATCTCCCAACCACAGGTAGCTGTCCTCTACTGACATCTCCGAATCACAGGTAGCTGTCCTCTACTGACATCTCCCAACCACAGAAAGCTGTCCTCTACTGACATCTCCCAACCACAGGTAGCTGTCCTCTACTGACATCTCCCAACCACAGGTAGCTGTCCTCTACTGACATCTCCCAACCACAGGTAGCTGTCCTCTACTGACATCTCCCAATCACAGGTAGCTGTCCTCTACTGACATCTCCCAACCACAGGTAGCTGTCCTCTACTGACATCTCCCAACCACAGGTAGCTGTCCTCTACTGACATCTCCCAACCACATGTAGCTGTCCTCTACTGACATCTCCCAACCACATGTAGCTGTCCTCTACTGACATCTCCCAACCACAGGTAGCTGTCCTCTACTGACATCTCCCAACCACAGGTAGCTGTCCTCTACTGACATCTCCCAACCACAGGTAGCTGTCCTCTACTGACATCTCCCAACCACAGGTAGCTGTCCTCTACTGACATCTCCCAACCACATGTAGCTGTCCTCTACTGACATCTCCCAACCACAGGTAGCTGTCCTCTACTGACATCTCCCAACCACATGTAGCTGTCCTCTACTGACATCTCCCAACCACAGGTAGCTGTCCTCTACTGACATCTCCCAACCACAGGTAGCTGTCCTCTACTGACATCTCCCAACCACAGGTAGCTGTCCTCTACTGACATCTCCCAACCACAGGTAGCTGTCCTCTACTTACATCTCCCAACCACAGGTAGCTGTCCTCTACATACTGACATCTCCCAACCACAGGTAGCTGTCCTCTACTGACATCTCCCAACCACAGGTAGCTGTCCTCTACTGACATCTCCCAACCACATGTAGCTGTCCTCTACTGACATCTCCCACCACAGGTAGCTGTCCTCTACTGACATCTCCCAACCACAGGTAGCTGTCCTCTACTGACATCTCCCAACCACAGGTAGCTGTCCTCTACTGACATCTCCCAACCACAGGTAGCTGTCCTCTACTGACATCTCCCAACCACAGGTAGCTGTCCTCTACTGACATCTCCCAACCACATGTAGCTGTCCTCTACTGACATCTCCCAACCACAGGTAGCTGTCCTCTACTGACATCTCCCAACCACAGAAAGCTGTCCTCTACTGACATCTCCCAACCACAGGTAGCTGTCCTCTACTGACATCTCCCAACCACAGGTAGCTGTCCTCTACTTACATCTCCCAACCACAGGTAGCTGTCCTCTACATACTGACATCTCCCAACCACAGGTAGCTGTCCTCTACTGACATCTCCCAACCACAGGTAGCTGTCCTCTACTGACATCTCCCAACCACATGTAGCTGTCCTCTACTGACATCTCCCACCACAGGTAGCTGTCCTCTACTGACATCTCCCAAACACAGGTAGCTGTCCTCTACTGACATCTCCCAACCACAGGTAGCTGTCCTCTACTGACATCTCCCAACCACATGTAGCTGTCCTCTACTGACATCTCCCAACCACATGTAGCTGTCCTCTACTGACATCTCCCAACCACATGTAGCTGTCCTCTACTGACATCTCCCAACCACAGGTAGCTGTCCTCTACTGACATCTCCCAACCACAGGTAGCTGTCCTCTACTGACATCTCCCAACCACGGGTAGCTGTCCTCTACTGGCATCTCCCAACCACAGGTAGCTGTCCTCTACTACTGGCCTCTCCCAACCACAGGTAGCTGTCCTCTACTACTGGCCTCTCCCAACCACATGTAGCTGTCCTCTACTGACATCTCCCAACCACATGTAGCTGTCCTCTACTGACATCTCCCAACCACAGGTAGCTGTCCTCTACTGACATCTCCGAATCACAGGTAGCTGTCCTCTACTGACATCTCCCAACCACAGAAAGCTGTCCTCTACTGACATCTCCCAACCACAGGTAGCTGTCCTCTACTGACATCTCCCAACCACAGGTAGCTGTCCTCTACTGACATCTCCCAACCACAGGTAGCTGTCCTCTACTGACATCTCCCAATCACAGGTAGCTGTCCTCTACTGACATCTCCCAACCACAGGTAGCTGTCCTCTACTGACATCTCCCAACCACAGGTAGCTGTCCTCTACTGACATCTCCCAACCACATGTAGCTGTCCTCTACTGACATCTCCCAACCACATGTAGCTGTCCTCTACTGACATCTCCCAACCACAGGTAGCTGTCCTCTACTGACATCTCCCAACCACAGGTAGCTGTCCTCTACTGACATCTCCCAACCACAGGTAGCTGTCCTCTACTGACATCTCCCAACCACAGGTAGCTGTCCTCTACATACTGACATCTCCCAACCACAGGTAGCTGTCCTCTACTGACATCTCCCAACCACAGGTAGCTGTCCTCTACATACTGACATCTCCCAACCACAGGTAGCTGTCCTCTACTGACATCTCCCAACCACAGGTAGCTGTCCTCTACTGACATCTCCCAACCACAGGTAGCTGTCCTCTACATACTGACATCTCCCAACCACAGGTAGCTGTCCTCTACTGACATCTCCCAACCACAGGTAGCTGTCCTCTACTGACATCTCCCAATCACAGGTAGCAGTCCTCTACTGACATCTCCCAAATACTGGGAGTCTTTGCACAAAGTAAATTGTCTCTACTTTCCTCTACCTCTCTCACCAACCACTGTGATACGTAAATAAAGAATCAACTTATTTTAACTTTACTGAGTGAATGCATGTTTATTTTTAGATGCGCCTTGCCAGGTTTTGAGAATGACACGTACTTGATACAAGATGAATACCATTTTAAAGCCGTGAATGCAGCCATTCCATCTTTCAGCCGAAATGGCTTCTCACAATGTAATTTTTACAATCACACAGGTATTTATCTGGACATGAAAGTTGTAGACGTAAAGTTGTATTCTTTTATTTAAGAAGGGAGAATCAAAAGACTATTACATCAATATTGTTTTCGTAAAATTGTATGTTTGATTTAGGAGGAAGAAGGAAATGACTTCATCTATCTTAATGCAAACTGTTTATTAAACATCAACAGTATCAAACGTTAACCTTTATAGTTAAACATAGGTATTCTATACAATCTATTTCCATTTTTTCTATTGCGCCCCATCAATACACCAAAGGATCAATGCACTAATGTTAACACATTGGGAGCCATACATAATTATTATATAACCTAAAAACTTAAGAAATACACCTTATCCATATAATTATAATACATATGGTACTGTATGTAACAAAGACAAAGTTGTTTTTTTAAAGCTACTGAGCTAATATCGTTCATGAATGATATTATGTCTTTTTGTATTCACACTTATATATACATGATATTCAGAGAACCTGTTCTTAGAGGTGTGTGTACTTTATTTTCTTACATGTCATCGTATTGGCCGACTTTACGCCCTCAATGTTAACCCTTTTCTGTTGTTACATGAATAGCGTCTGAAGACGACACAGAGGCAGTTCAATCAAAAGACTTGGCCTCCAATGGCCGCAAGTTGAACACAAGCCTGCAGAGTTGTGACACTTGGGTGTACGACAGATCGTCCTTTGAGGAGACTTTGGTTTCTAAAGTAAGCAAACTGCTCACGTGACCGTCCTACACACCTTCATGGCCACTTGTTTGAAGACAAGATTGAAACCTTTTTAGAATAATTATTATTAAAGGCTTTTATTTAGTTCACAGTTTAATATGGTTTGTGCCCAAAATTTAATCCAATAATCCCATCACGTTATGCCCACAGTTTAATCCAATACTACCAGCACGTTATGCCCACAGTTTAATATGGTTTGTGCCCAAAATTTAATCCAATAATCCCATCACGTTATGCCCACAGTTTAATCCAATACTACCAGCACGTTATGCCCACAGTTTAATATGGTTTGTGCCCAAAATTTAATCCAATAATCCCAGCACGTTATGCCCACAGTTTAATCCAATAATCCTAGTACGTTATGCCCACAGTTTAATCCAATAATCCCAGCACGTTATGCCCACAGTTAAATCCAATAATCCTAGTACGTTATGCCCACAGTTTAATCCAATAATCCCAGCACGTTATGCCCACAGTTTAATATGGTTTGTGCCCAAAGTTTGAGACAGTCTCACAGCCAAATGGTCTACATGTTAGGAAGTTTGTTCGGCACCTTTATATTTGGACCATTGGGAGACATGTACGGTAACCTTTCATTAGAAAAATATAAATATTGGGATAGAAATTCGGTATAACTTGTCAGTATTGTAGGACAATAAATATTGGGATAGAAATTAGCTATAACTTTTCAGTATTGTAGGACAATAAATATTGGGATAGAAATTTTGGTGTAACATTTCAGTTCAGTAGAAGTAGACTCTAAGATGAGGTGTCAGTTTCAATATTGCAATTTTCAATTTATAGTTGGCTAAAATTTTTCAAAGATGTTTTATGTAACGAACAACAAGTTAACGCGTCAATTTTCTCACCAGATACGGGCGTAAGATTATTCTAATCAGCTCATTGTTGGTGTATGCCGTCTCGAGCACATGCATAGCTTTCATAGAGACGTTCTTACTCCTGGGTATTGCACTCTTCATGGATGGCGCTAGCTGCACTGCCTTTTACAATGTCCTGTACGTTTTAGGCAAGTCTTTGATACAGTTTATAATAGATTGACGACAGAAGCCTGTGGTTGTATATAACACATTTATTGGGTCTAACTACATCACGATGGTAACACACAGAGAGAGACGGAAGGAAGTACACAAGGGACATCACTCAAGATAACAATATTATAAATATAACTAATACAGAAGAGTGAGTTCCCTTGACCTCACAATTATTTCAATCTATTACATCCCTTTACCCTTAGAACACAATAACACATCTCTCAATAGAACAATTGATAGTATCCTAAAATCACCAATTATATTGTAACATGAACACTATGGTAGATTACATCCTTACAAACAATGCACAATATGCTACAACATAATCAAAATACAAAACAATAATGTCAAAGTCCTTTTGACCTTTAGAATCATAGGTCTAACTTATTTGGGACTTTGATTGTCCTGCTTGACCTTCTCAGTGGCTTTTGATTTGGTGACTCAAGATTCTGACCATCTGGATTCTCTATCTCAGAAGGTCTAGGATTTAAATCATTAACTCCAGAATTTACATTTTCTGACTCCAGACAACTTGGTTCACTCATATCAACAGAACTTGGTTGTGGAACAAACTGAGTTGGTGTGAACTGATCAGACTTGGTGGGATTGACAGATTCACACTTATTATCTGCACAAGTTATTTTTAACTTTATAAGACACAGGTCCTGTACATTGAACAATTTGACCTGGTATCCATTTTTCCTTTCTCCCATAATTTCTTAGATACACATTCTTATTAACACCAAATTCTCTTTCAATGGATGATTTGTCATGATTTAATGGAACTATTTTTGAATTGGCATCTGGAAGTATTATGCTGTTATTCAGATCCTTGACTGACATAGATTTCTTTGATTGATCAATTTCCTCAGGTAATCTGATAGTGCTTTCCTGGTAACCAAAAATACTGTTTAAAAGTACTGTTCTGGACCATATCACTTTGCAACTGTGATCCAGTATTTGAAATGGGTGTATTAAATGGCAAAAATCTTTTTTCTTTTCTTTTGATGTTACCCTTTTAGTTTCTGTAAGTGCTAATGATGTTAGCAAAGTTGTTTGATGATCACATTCCTCTTACTAATGTATTCTCTTTAAAACATTTGAAATTGCCATATCACCATAATCATTTATTAAGTTACAAATACTTTGTTTAGGCAACTCTGACTGATAATGGACTGCATCTTCTCCATCTTTTATATTATCTTCACAAAGGTTTTTATTTCTTATTTTATATGGCCTTAAGTCATCATTCACAGACTCTTCAGGCCAACCATTTTTACAGTACTCATATACTTTTATTAAGCACTCATCTTTTTGTGTTTCTCTTTTAATATCATTCACATTTATATTGGAGTTATCCATGATAGTGAAGAGAACAAATACATCTTCTGGTACATAGCTCAGGCTTTGGTTTTTTTTTAAAGGTAATCTACTAAGGCTATCTGCACTATTCTCAGATCCAGGTTTGTATTTCAATTCATAATTGTATGCAGTTAGTGTGATAGCCCATCTTTGAATTCTTGGTGAGGCATGCTCAGGTAGGGTTTTGTTTTCTCCAAATAAACCTAGCAATGGTTTATGATCTGTAAAGATGGTGAACTTCCTACCAAACAGAAACTTATGAAATTTCTTAACACCAAAAATGATGCCTAAGCCTTCCCTATCTAACTGAGAATAATTTTTCTCAGCCTGGTTCAAAGATCTACTGGCAAAAGCAATGGGTCTGTCACCCTTCTCATCCATGTGGGACAAGACTGCTCCTACACCATCTGGTGAAGCATCACATGTCAATACAAGTCTTTTCCCTGGGTCATAGTGAGTTAGAAAGGTGTCAGCAGACAAAGCCTCTTTTGCTGTATTAACAGCAGTATCTTGTTGTTTACCCCAGTGCCAAGTTGCATTTTTCTGTAGCAGCTTGTACAGTGGTGATAGTTTACCAGACAGATTTCCTATGAACTTTGCATAGTAATTTATTAAGCCCAAAAAAGCTCTTAGTTGTTGGGTATTTTCAGGTTTGGGTGCTTCTTTAATGGCTTTTGTTTTCTCAGGTTGAGGTCTGATACCTTGCTTGCTTAATATATAACCAAGAAAACTAATTTCTGTCAGCATGAATTGACATTTATCTTTGTTTATCTTTAAACCTTTTTCACCAACAATTTTCAATACTTTATCAAGTGTTTTAAGATGTTCAGTGTCATTCTTACCAGTTATGTACACATTGTCAAAGTACACACAAACATTTGGAATGTCCTTAAAAATACTGTCCATGACAGCTTGGAAAATTCCAGGGCTGGATGATATGCCAAAACATAGTCTTTCATATTGGTAGAGTCCTTTATGTGTGTTTATTGTCGTATAGACTTTTGAATCTGGATGCAGTTCTAGTTGAGTGTAAGCATGACTAAAGTCTAATTCAGTGAATTTGTCTCCTCCTGCCAAATTCAAAGAAATTTCCTCAATGTTAGGTATAGGGTACCTATTTAGCTCTATTTGCTTATTGAGTGTAGTTTTATAATCTCCACAAATTCTTATAGAACCATCCTTCTTTTAACACTGGCACAATGGGTGTCGCCCAATCGGAATAGTCTACCTTCTTTATGATATCTCTCTCTTTTTTTTCCTTTTTTTTTCCCTTTCTATTTTTTTTCTTTGTTTTTTTTTTTTTTTTTTTTTCTTTTTTTTTTGGATTTGTATCTTTAATGCTTAACTTCACTGTTCTATCATTTAGTAAACCTGAATTACCAAAAACACATTTATTTTCAGATATAACTTTATCTAGTGAAGTAAGACTAGATTCTTTTACATTCTTCAATGAACAAATACTCTCCCAATTTAACTTAAGATCACTTAACCAGTTCCTACCTAGTAATGGCGGTCCATTTCCTTCAACCACAAGAAGAGGAAGTTTAACACTTTGACCATTATAACTTACATGAACCATACACTCTCCTATTACCGGAACATTGTCACCAGTGTATGTTGTTAGACACTTGTGACACGGCTGTAGAGACACTGATCCTTCTGTGACAGCGTCAAAATCTTTCTTTGTTATGACTGTTAGAGATGCTCCAGTGTCAAGTTGGAAGCTGATGCTCTTACCGTTGATATTAACTTGTACATTGATGGGAGCATGACTTATTGATTTAACAGAGAACAGGTTGAAATCCGGCTGCAAATCAATTTGAGCATTTTCACAGGTAGAGTGGTTCATTGGTTGGGTTAGGTAGTCTTGGTGAGAGTTAACATAGTGCTGCTTTTGGTTGCGGTACTGTCTTGACTGGCTAGATTTAGCAACAGACGAAGACTTTGCAAAGCAGGCCTTGGCAATGTGACCTTGCTTACTGCACTTATAACAAGTTGCAGACTTGAACTTGCACCGATGAGATGCATGGGGACCTTTGCATCGATGACATTTTTGATAATTATTACTAGATTTAGATCTAGGATTTGAACGAGCAGGCTGTTTAGCATAAGTTGGAATGCTCTGATGGGGTTGATGTTTATTGACTAACCTGCTGTTTACTGCATGGATCTCTGAAGGTGTTAGAGATTTCGCCGCATCTGATGACTGCTGGATTGAAGTTGCAAGTTGTATTGCTTTTTCCAATTTTAGATCTGACTCGAGCAGCAACTTTCTTTGAATATCAGGGCTGTTTACACCTGTCACAAACTTTTCACATAGTCTGTCAGACAGCGTTTCTCCAAATTCACAGAATCTACTTAAATGACGTAAGGCAGCAACATATTCTGATATTGACTCGTTTGGTTGACGAGTCCTACTGTCAAATCTAGCTCGACATAGAAACTTTGATGGGGTAGGCGCATGGTGGTCTGTTAGCAATTTGCTCAGCTCGTTAAAGCTCTTGGTAGTTAGACTAGCTGGTGCGCATAAGTCTTTTAGTAGCCTAAATTGTTGAGGCCCTATGACTGTTAACAAAACAGCTCTCTTTTTGGCTTCTATCGTCACGTTGTTAGCTTCTAGGTAAAAGCTTAACCTCTCTAGGTAATCTTGAATGATTTCATCATTCGCATCAAATTGATTTATTTGGCCATACAGCGCCATTATTCTAGAAATAATTAGCTAATAAGCTCTAGCAAACCTCTTTTTTGCGTAAGTAGGTGCTCATTCTAGTAGATGTTTATCCTTCGTCGCCAGTTATAATAGATTGACGACAGAAGCCTGTGGTTGTATATAACACATTTATTGGGTCTAACTACATCACGATGGTAACACACAGAGAGAGACGGAAGGAAGTACACAAGGGACATCACTCAAGATAACAATATTATAAATATAACTAATACAGAAGAGTGAGTTCCCTTGACCTCACAATTATTTCAATCTATTACACAGTTACTCTAGCATACAAGTGGTGTGGTGTATGGCATCCAGAGGCGACCCTTCCCGGCGCCCGGGGACAAACTTTTGATTTGCATTGCACCCCCCTCAAGCTTTCGATTTGCACACCCCCCTCATACTTTCGATTTGCACCCCCTCAAGATTTCGATTTGCATCCCCCCCCTCAACTTTCGATTTGCACCCCCTCTCAACCTTTCAATTTATTTTTCCAACCCATTTTGGCGCCCCCTAAGGTCGGCGCCCGGTGACATGTGGCCCCCCCTCGCTACGCCTCTGATGGCGTCACTAGTTCGGGTGATAACTGGGGAACTACCACCGTGGGCGTTTTGGTGTCATTCCATTTTAGAGAGTGTCACCAGGTTTCTTCCACACTTTTTTTCTCCCCCACTCACAATGTTGTCAATTGGGCTGAAAGGTCATTGTTATTGTTTCTATTAAAAGCTTGGACAAATCAGATTTCTTATTTTAGTTAGTTTGTGTCACCTTGTGCTGTCCTTCACCCCTCCCCTTGTCAACTTACCTCGTGGGTTATGTATCTTCTTGATGTTTCAGGTCTAGAGCTTGTTGGTCCTAAAAAACGAACTTTTGCTGGAATGATCATCAACTTGTTCTTTGGCTTTGGCGTCCTTTTACTGCCAGTTTTAGCGTTTTACTTGCGTCATTGGAGGTCTCTTCAGCTAGCGGCGTCCTCGTGGACATTTATATTTGTTATATACTACTGGTAGTTACACGTCTTTTGTATTTGTTATATAGTACCGGTAGTTACATGTCTTTTGTATTTGTTATATAGTACCGGTAGTTACACGTCTTTTGTATTTGTTATATACTACTGGTAGTTACACGTCTTTTGTATTTGTTATATACTACTGGTAGTTACACGTCTTTTGTATTTGTTATATAGTACCTTTAGTTACACGTCTTTTGTATTTGTTATATAGTACCTTTAGTTACACGTCTTTTGTATTTGTTATATACTACTGGTAGTTACACGTCTTTTGTATTTGTTATATAGTACCTTTAGTTACACGTCTTTTGTATTTGTTATATAGTACCTTTAGTTACACGTCTTTTGTATTTGTTATATACTACTGGTAGTTACACGTCTTTTGTATTTGTTATATAGTACCTTTAGTTACACGTCTTTTGTATTTGTTATATACTACCGGTAGTTACACGTCTTTTGTATTTGTTATATAGTACAGGTAGTTACACGTCTTTTGTATTTCTTATATAGTACCTTTAGTTACACGTCTTTTGTACTTGTTATATAGTACCTTTAGTTACACGTCTTTTGTATTTGTTATATACTACCGGTAGTTAAACGTCTTTTGTATTTGTTATATACTACAGTAGTTACACTTTTTAAATTTGTTTTAAGGTACAACTAGAAGTTGTGTATATTCATATAACCTACTACCGGTGATTAAAAGTCTCTTATATTTATTATACTACACAACTAGATCTAGATGTTTTTTATATTCACTATTTTCTATTGGTAATTAGAAATCTTTTATATTTATTAGATAAACCCATCCAAACAAATCGATCTTGTCCCGTTTTGTCAACAAATGTCTGCTTCCCCCTAGGTTGATACCTGAATCTCCGCGGTGGCTCATCACTAAAGAGCGCTATGGAGAAGCTGAAATCATCATTCAAAGAGCCGCCATTGTAAACAAAACCAAAGTCCCAGACGCCTACAATTGGGAAGAACGCGTCATTATATGCGAACCCTTTAGGAATATCTTCGTTCATCGAGTGCTGGCTATCCGCACGTCCATCATCTACGCCAACTGGTACGTTTACAAATTCTGAGTTTTAAGTTTGAATACAAAAACACTTTAAGTTTTAGGAAACAAATAGCTAAATATACCCTTACCTATAGTGAGATATGTAAAAAGAAAATGTCATTTTATAAGAATAAAAGTGACTTACAGGCTACAAATGATAAAATTATATAAAACTTTATAACTATATATAAATTCAAAAAGTTTAGATTCAAAAGAATAAACAAAAGGTATTTAATAAAATAATTCTTTAGCACCATTGTTTAACTTTAAAAGGCAAATATTTTATAATCCTAACACACATTTTTTGTAAAAGACAAAAACAAATACACATTCACTACTGTGATATTCAAGATTTGCAACTATTAATATCAGTCTGATCAAACCAGGGTTTCTTTCAATCACTTTCTCCGTGGGAGGGGGGGGGGGGGGACTTGAAACTTTCGGCGATGACTGAGAGAAAAACTAGACCGAACCCTCCATTGTTATCTAACGTGATCCCTCCCCCACAGGGCAGTGTGTAGCATGAACTACTACGGTCTGAGCCTGAATGCTACACGTCTCACTGGATCAGTTTACGTCAACACCATCATATTCGCACTGGTTGAAATAAGCTCCTACCTCTGCTCCTATTTTTTCCTTGAATGTACAGGCCGTAAGGTGCTTCATATCATCTTTATGGCTTTAACTGGGGTCTTTTGTATGCTGTCACCTTTTCCACAAATATATGGAGGCTCGGGTAAGTTAAAGAGGAAAACAGTTCAAATGTTTATCAGATAAAATAGTTGCTGTTTTGAAAGTTGTTTTAGTCCTATGTGGTTCACTAATCCAGAGTTTAGTTGAGAGCCATGCCAATTACAACCGTTATTCTTCTATTCATTTATTCATGTACCAGGTTTTTATTGGCTCACTATACTCCTGGCAACAGTTGGCAAGTTTGGAGCTTCCGGTGCCTATGCCAACATTTGGCTGTACTCAGCCGAGCTCTTCCCCACGGTGCTGCGGAGCTGCTGCATGTCTTCTGGTTCATTTTTTGCAAGGATTGGTGGGATGATTGCCCCTTATGTAGCAAACTTTGTAAGTTGTAAGGATTGGTGGGATGATTGCCCCTTATGTAGCAAACTTTGTAAGTTGTAAGGATTGGTTGGGATGATTGCCCCTTATGTAGCAAACTTTGTAAGTTGTAAGGATTGGTGGGATGATTGCCCCTTATGTAGCAAACTTTGTAAGTTGTAAGGATTGGTGGGATGATTGCCCCTTATGTAGCAAACTTTGTAAGTTGTAGGGATTGGTTGCCCCTTATGTAGCAAACTTTGTAAGTTGTAAGGATTGGTGGGATGATTGCCCCTTACGTAGCAAACTTTGTAAGTTGTAAGGATTGGTTGGGATGATTGCCCCTTATGTAGCAAACTTTGTAAGTTGTAAGGATTGGTGGGATGATTGCCCCTTATGTAGCAAACTTTGTAAGTTGTAAGGATTGGTGGGATGATTGCCCCTTATGTAGCAAACTTTGTAAGTTGTAAGGATTGGTTGGGATGATTGCCCCTTATGTAGCATACTTTGTAAGTTGTAAGGATTGGTTGGGATGATTGCCCCTTATGTAGCAAACTTTGTAAGTTGTAAGGATTGGTGGGATGATTGCCCCTTATGTAGCAAACTTTGTAAGTTGTAAGGATTGGTGGGATGATTGCCCCTTATGTAGCAAACTTTGTAAGTTGTAAGGATTGGTGGGATGATTGCCCCTTATGTAGCAAACTTTGTAAGTTGTAAGGATTGGTGGGATGATTGCCCCTTATGTAGCAAACTTTGTAAGTTGTAAGGATTGGTGGGATGATTGCCCCTTATGTAGCAAACCTTGTAAGTTGTAGGGATTGGTTGCCCCTTATGTAGCAAACTTTGTAAGTTGTAAGGATTGGTGGGATGATTGCCCCTTATGTAGCAAACTTTGTAAGTTGTAAGGATTGGTGGGATGATTGCCCCTTATGTAGCAAACTTTGTAAGTTGTAAGGATTGGTGGGATGATTGCCCCTTATGTAGCAAACTTTGTAAGTTGTAGGGATTGGTTGCCCCTTATGTAGCAAACTTTGTAAGTTGTAAGGATTGGTGGGATGATTGCCCCTTATGTAGCAAACTTTGTAAGTTGTAAGGATTGGTGGGATGATTGCCCCTTATGTAGCAAACTTTGTAAGTTGTAAGGATTGGTGGGATGATTGCCCCTTATGTAGCAAACTTTGTAAGTTGTAGGGATTGGTTGCCCCTTATGTAGCAAACTTTGTAAGTTGTAAGGATTGGTGGGATGATTGCCCCTTATGTAGCAAACTTTGTAAGTTGTAAGGATTGGTGGGATGATTGCCCCTTATGTAGCAAACTTTGTAAGTTGTAAGGATTGGTGGGATGATTGCCCCTTATGTAGCAAACTTTGTAAGTTGTAGGGCTTGGTTGCCCCTTATGTAGCAAACTTTGTAAGTTGTAAGGATTGGTGGGATGATTGCCCCTTATGTAGCAAACTTTGTAAGTTGTAGGGATTGGTTGCCCCTTATGTAGCAAACTTTGTAAGTTGTAAGGATTGGTTGGGATGATTGCCCCTTATGTAGCAAACTTTGTAAGTTGTAAGGATTGGTGGGATGATTGCCCCTTATGTAGCAAACTTTGTAAGTTGTAGGGATTGGTTGCCCCTTATGTAGCAAACTTTGTAAGTTGTAAGGATTGGTGGGATGATTGCCCCTTATGTAGCAAACTTTGTAAGTTGTAGGGATTGGTTGCCCCTTATGTAGCAAACTTTGTAAGTTGTAAGGATTGGTGGGATGGTTGCCCCTTATGTAGCAAACTTTGTAAGTTGTAAGGATTGGTGGGATGATTGCCCCTTATGTAGCAAACTTTGTAAGTTGTAAGGATTGGTGGGATGATTGCGCCTTATGTAGCAAACTTTGTAAGTTGTAAGGATTGGTGGGATGATTGCCCCTTATGTAGCAAACTTTGTAAGTTGTAGGGATTGGTTGCCCCTTATGTAGCAAACTTTGTAAGTTGTAAGGATTGGTGGGATGATTGCCCCTTATGTAGCAAACTTTGTAAGTTGTAAGGATTGGTGGGATGATTGCCCCTTATGTAGCAACTTTGTAAGTTGTAAGGATTGGTGGGATGATTGCCCTTTATGTAGCAAACTTTGTAAGTTGTAGGGATTGGTTGCCCCTTATGTAGCAAACTTTGTAAGTTGTAAGGATTGGTGGGATGGTTGCCCCTTATGTAGCAAACTTTGTAAGTTGTAAGGATTGGTGGGATGATTGCCCCTTATGTAGCAAACTTTGTAAGTAGTAAGGATTGGTGGGATGATTGCCCCTTATGTGTAAGTTGTAAGGATTGGTGGGATGATTGCCCCTTATGTAGCAAACTTTGTAAGTTGTAGGGATTGGTTGCCCCTTATGTAGCAAACTTTGTAAGTTGTAAGGATTGGTGGGATGATTGCCCCTTATGTAGCAAACTTTGTAAGTTGTAAGGATTGGTGGGATGATTGCTCCTTATGTAGCAAATTTTGTAAGTTGTAAGGATTGGTGGGATGATTGCCCCTTATGTAGCAAACTTTGTAAGTTGTAAGGATTGGTTGGGTGATTGCCCCTTATGTAGCAACTTTTTAACTTGCGCATTTACAATCTCAAAAGTCTCTATAGTCCTGAAACTTTAAATAAAAAATGTTTATTATTTAGTTTAAAATATCAGTGGTGCAGGGTGTGTGTGTGTGGGGGGGGGGGGGGGAAGAGGGTCCCTTATAGACCCCATGAGGGCTAGCCTAACCCACTCCACACTTGAAATAAATTGCAACCAAATCTTTGACCAGAGCAGCAGCCTTGACCGTGAGACTGCAGGAATTATTCCATTAATTGTGTTTGGTGTCGTCTCCATCATAGCAGGAGCATTTTCATATTCGCTTCCAGAGACCAGGGACACAGTTCTCCCTGAAACTATTGCTGAGGCGCTAGCACTTGGCCGGTAAATATCTACTGGTTCAACTATTTTTTTTCATGCCAGCATGGACAGTTCATTATTAGGATACATTTTCATGTAGATTATAAGCTTATAAAGGATTCACTAAGATGTAGGTAGTCTAAGATACCTGAACAATAAAAAGTATTGTCTGAAACTTAATTTAAAAAACACAATGAATGATATTTCCATTCTTGTTATTATTAAACCAAAATACTACTTAAAGTTACCCTTTTTGAACTTAGTCAATAGGGCAGGCAAACTAAGTTTCTGTGAGCACAGCTTATGGAGGGCAAGTGTGGCCAGTTGCCTTCATGTGAGCCAGGTACTCAACAGAGCTAGGTGGACTCTGGAACATTCTATGAGCTCAAAGTCTGGGATCATATCTCAAGACTTTCACTGTCCAGCGCTCTACTGTCCAGTTTCTAAAAAACATTTTTGGCACATAGAATAATGCCTCCAGCATGTGATGAAACATCATGTCATAGATATAGGTTTTGTATTTCTCTTATTGTCAATATTTACTTCCCAACACCAACTAAAATTATCTTTACTTCCTAGCACCCCAAAATATGTTCAAGCCAAAGAAAAGAATGTATCACCTAACCCGTCCAAAGATTCAACAAGCTTTCCAGAATTAGCACAAGCTAAAGAAAGGACAGAATCGCCTAGCTCCAAAGATTCGCCCAAGACAGCAGCAGACGCAGCAACAACACGTAGTGGAACAACTATATAGTAGTGGGAAAAGCGTTCACAATCTGAGGATACATTCATTCACAGGCAGCTTGCTGTTATAAGCTATTGGGGCATGGTCCCACATATACTTTGTAAAACTACATTGTTTATGTACACTGCCCATGTTGCAAGTGTTTATGATCCCAACACCCAGTCTTTGGCCATGTGCTAAGAGGATTTAGTTCAACATTGCCGGGTCAAACGACCAAGCCCAAAACTACTCAGCTGAGTCAACTGTTATTGGAACGTCCAGCTAGATTGGGCTCCAGAATTATATATATCTGCATCTACTCTATAGAAATCATTAGGGACCATTAAAATAGATATTTTAATAGTAGAAGTATGCCATGGGTAACTAAGTGGAAGTTTTAACAATTGTATAATTTGTGCTGAACAAATTGTTTTTACCTCAATACTATTACAGGTTTACTTGAGTTAAATCTGTATAACATCAGTACAATCCATTTTAGATGCTAAGTGTTCATTGGTAATAATTTTTTAAGAAATAGATTGTTTGAATAATAAGCTCCTAGCCCTATTTGTTTCTATTGTTACATATTGTAACCTGATGCCCTTACACACAGTTTATTAATGTGGACAAGTCTTATTGTCTGTAAATATAATTAATTTTTTTTAACATTAGGTCTACTGTAATCTTATTTTAAAAAATTGTATATGCTGAATAAATATATATTTTTATAATAGTTGTTCTATATATGTAAAAATATTGCATACTTAAGTGTTCTTGAGTTAGTGAGCATATAGGGTGAGGCCAGATATATCAGTATGTAAAAACATCAAACCTCTAAAAAAAGAGAAACAAAATTGATTTAGCATTTTCTATTAAAAAGGCTAAAATACTCTAATGTCATTAAAAAAAAAATTGTGGAAAATGTACAGAAAGGCAATACTTTAATAAAAAACAATTTCTTTAAGAAAAGTTTTGGTCAGAAAATAAGTAAGAGATCTCATGAGTGACCAAAGCTTTATTGAAGAAAGAAAGTTTATTTTGTTTTATTATTTTCAGTGCATTTAAAAGCTAATGTTTTTTTTATTTGTTTTATTTTTCACTTTTTAGTAATTCGTTCTAAATGAAGTTGGCACTAGATCTTCGACTAAAATTTTTTGTTAAAACCCAAATAACTAGTTTGAAATCTCTAAAAGACGGAGTTGCCTGCCCTATCTTCGATGGTCAACCTTGATAACAGTTCACCCTTTTCGACAAACTGATTGCGCAATCGCTAATATTTAATCGAGTTATCTCCCCTTTTATTAATGCAATAGTTGAAACCTGTACAGTTGTATGCCCCTTGTATGTGGTCAACACCCTGACAACCAACATTCAGTGTGAACTACAGCTCAGCTCATAGAGTGATCGCATCTAGATAGTTACCTTCCCTTCTATTATTTACTATATAAATCTATCGAGGGATCATTAGCATTTAATCTTGTTATCTCCCCTTAGTTTTGAAACAATTTAATTAGAGTTTAATGACTAACCCAATTATTAAAATATAGATATTTATATATTGCCCTTCAAGCAGAAGATATATGGAAAATTTGAACCAAATCGCTGCATTAGAAGTTGGTCAAAATTGAGTTTTGCCTCTAACCTACAAACAAAAGGATATTGTGAACTAAATAAAAGCTTGTAAAATGATCAGTAGAGTATTATTGTGATAGTAGTCAACTCTATCTACACTAAACAAGGTCATTTTTTATATAGTTTTATGATAAAACTAGTAAATTAAAATAAAGATAACATTAATAATGTAGACTAGGAAGACAGATACCAAAAAGGCACTTTATTGTTGAATCTTATCTATTACAAAGAAAGTATTTTGAATATCACTTAAATGGATTATATATTAATTGTGCTATTTTAGTACACCTTCATATTTTTGCCATTTAAATTGAGTACACAGGCGAAGTATGAAAAAAGAAATAAATTCAGATTGAACAATACAAAACAAAAACAACCAAATTATTTCATGAAACAAAACTCAAAAAATGATTTTCAATAATTGATGAATTTTTAAATAATGAAACAGAAGTAGATATGTGTAAAATATTCAGTTGATTAAAAACAATTCAATCACTGTTTAGTTAAGCCATCAGTGTTGTATGCTGGTAGTATCTGATGGCCGGACATATCCTTACACACTAGAACAAACTAAACACAGAGTACGCAATGATACAGCAGTAAAATAATATTTACAAACTATATATACATATATGGCTTTCATAGAGAATTATAGATAAAATGTAATGTAAATTTTAAAATATTAACGACTAGAAAAACATCTACTTTAAATAAAAAAGATTTTTTTTTAATTATTATATTTTTTATATTAAAAACCATTCAAATGGGTTTTGATTGAAAAAATAAAATGTTGAAGGAATCATGGCAGTAATTGGCTAAATATCTGACATTAATGCCCTTGTTAATAACAGGTACTGGGAGTTGAGGTTAAGTGACAGCAAACATTTTTAAACAAGATGCATCATCATTTAATCTGTGTTGCATGTATTTGCTTGATTCAACTGACTAGAAGTTGTGGTAGATTAACTATTTAAAATGAACACGATGTAAAAAAATTGCTGGCATGATTTAAATTGACATAAAATGACAATATATTCTAAAACAACCATGTTACTAAAAAAGAATGAGCGATATAAACAACTACTTACAAATAAGCACAACTTTAATATTCTTGCACAGTGATCACATTTGTTGTCAGTACAATTAAATAGCATAAAAATAAATAAATATGTATAATTTTTATATACATACACAGAAACATAAATATGACAGAACTGTTAATGGTAATTAATTTTTAACCCACAGCTGCTTAATTTATAAAGACACAAGTTAAACAAAATTACATTTAACATTCTTCAATTATAAAAGAACAAACAAGTACTTTGTGCTTTTGGACCTATATAAACAGATGATGTGTATATTACAGGTGTCCTGGTCAGAGCTGGCTGTACAGGTGTCCTGGTCACAGCTGGCTGGCTGTACAGGTGTTCTGGTCACAGCTGGCTGGCTGTACAGGTGTGCTGGTCACAGCTGGCTGTACAGGTGTCCTGGTCACAGTTGGCTGTACAGGTGTGCTGGTTAGAGAAGTACAGGTGTCAGCTGTCCTGATCACAGGTGGGTGATGTCATCTGGAGTGGCAGAGAGATCCTCAGTGTAGACAGGGGATCAGACACATAACCTGTACCAAGAGATTAGGTCAGACACATAACCTGTACCAAGAGATTAGGTCAGACACATAACCTGTACCAAGAGATTAGGTCAGACACATAACCTGTACCAAGAGATTAGGTCACACAACAAGTTTTAAATAGTTTTTTTTTCAGCCGCAATTTTTATTTTTAAATAGAATTGGTTCAATGAGAAATTATTGATAAAATAATACAGCACTTTAAAAATAAAAAATCGGATTATACATTTTTATATCTAGTACATATAAAAATTCATTCTACAATCAGAGCTTTTAAGAATAGACACATACCATTTTTATCTAGCTGTGGGTAGGGGTATCTTCTTTTTTCCTCAGTAGCCACAGAGCCACTATCAACAAACAAAATATGATGTTACAAATTCAGAGCTAGAAAAATCCAAGAAACATTACTATAATTTAATACTATAATTAAACACTCTTTTTGCTTCTCACTCTTTTCCTTTTAAATAATGGATGAAACAACAGGTTATGATAACTTTTAACATAGTTATGATAGTGTATGAATAATGGGGTTGGCATGGTTGGGCTGGTAAGGTCATGGTTGCTTGACCAAAGTCACAAGTTAGAACTCTTGGGCAGATGAGACTCACTAGTTGTTTCCTTCTTTCAGTTTCTTGACACAGCTGAGAGGGGGGGGGGTGCTGATACATGGGCAACATACAGCCCTCTCAACTTGCTGCCCAGCAATGTATACAAACAGTGATGTAACAATAATTATAACAATTAGTTTATAATTATATATGTAATTAATTTTTAAGTGTGATGAGACAGACATTTCCTTGCATCCCATGGTGCAGATTGAGAACCTCTGGGGCACTGCAAATATGTAATCTCTATCAAACAGCCAACAGCTTATATACCTGTTTCTAGAAGCTTCCATTTCCCAGTGGTTGCGTAGTGCTGAGACATGGCCAGCCATTGGTGGTGTGTCCCTGCCCTCCCCATCCGAGTCCTGCCCTGTGACCATAGGTAGGGCCATGGGCAGGCTGGCAGTGGAGGTGTCAGAGTTACTCAACATGGCCACAGCCTGAGACCTTTTACATTCCTCTAGGACTGGAATTATCTCACGGAATTCTGGCCTTTCCTGCTCACATTTATGTCACATTTTTAAAAAACAAATTTACCTACAATCTCAGTTATTGTTCAAGTCAATTATATTAGTACATTGAATTGTAACAAAATATTTATCTAATGAAATGAACGTTTGGATATTATGAATAAAAGTAAAAAAAAAACTGGCTAATAATTCTGTTAACTTTACATATATAATTCACGATGGAAAGAGATTAGAGAAAACAATTTTTGCGTGATTTAGAATAGGTAAAATCCTTACGTTAACAAATTTAGAGGTTCTGTAAAGTTAAACAATTAGTTCTGTGCTTTTGATAGATATGAAAGATTTAGTGACAACACAGAGTTGAGAGAGTAGACAACTTTCACTAATTGTTCATTTGGTCAAACAGTAGGGACATTTGGCACAGAAGGGACATTTGGCAGAGATAGGCAATAGTTAAAAAAGTAGTGACATTTTGCACAGAGGGACATTTGGCACAGTAGGGACATTTTACAGAGTTAGGCAATAGTTAAAAAAGTAGTGACATTTTGCACAGAGGGACATTTGGCACAGTAGGGACATTTTACAGAGTTAGGCAATAGTTAAAACAGTAGGGCAGTTTGAAACTTTTCTTTTCACCCAATGTCCACCCAAATATTTGGTGAGCTGAATGCAACTTACATCAGGGTTTGTGTGCCAGCCTTTCTGTAAGAGAGAAACAATTGGCTTGGGGAATGTGATGGCTATAGGTGGCCTGGTGTTGTGGTAGGCTGTCTCTGCTGCAGCAGCAGCTGAAGCAAAAAATTTCATTACAGCAGGAAATATGACAAACTTGTTGTAGACATGCTAGAAGGTTTACAGAAGCACAGAATTATTTAAGTAGCTATAGTAATAGAGACAGGTATGGGACACAGAATTTCTGGCATGTTTGGTATAGTTACCAGGTTTCAGGTGGGCAAAAGGTAGTTCTCCAGCTAACAGCTCCCACAGGACCAGAGAGTAGCTAAACATGTCAGCTTTAACACTGTACTTTGTGCATTGGGTGAAGATCTCAGGGGCCATCCATCTTAGGTTCTATAACATTTGGTCAAATTATTACGTCCATATTTTAGGTCAACTATTACATTCACTTCTTTGGTCAATTATTACATTCACATCTTTGGTCAATTATTACATTCACATCTTTGGTCAATTATTACATTCACATCTTTGGTCAATTGTTACATTCACATCTTTGGTCAATTGTTACATTCACATCTTTGGTCAATTGTTACATTCACATCTTTGGTCAATTATTACATTCACATCTTTGGTCAACTATTACATTCACATCTTTGATCAATTATTACTTTCACATCTTTGGTCAATTATTACATTCACATCTTTGGTCAATTATTATATTCATATCTTTGGTCAATTATTACAACTAAAAATACAGTAACAAATTTCAAAAGACAATGAATTCCAAAAACAAATATAATTCATCATTGTGCCATGTTATAAGTAACCATTTTTATAATAAAAACTAATGTATCTTACTCCTGGCTGTTTAGTCATATTATCTTCATCAGCTGAGCGTAGAAACCTGGATTCTAAAACAAGAGAAGAAAGAGTTACTACATTAGAGATGTCATAGCAAATGATCATGGAAAGTGCTAATAACTAATGACCTGCTTAAGTTTAAGTGATACAGAAAACACATATGTTCAGTTTGGTAAAAATATCATGTTTGTCACTGTATAAAGCAAATGCATTTCAGTTACAACATGCAATCATACAACAAGTTTTGATTGAAAGCAGTAGTTATACCAGATGCAAAGGTTTAGAAACATAATACACACCACCAAAATCAGCAACAACAGCATGACCATTCTCTTCAAGTAAAATGTTGTGGCTGTTTAGATCTCTGTGAATGATGGGCAGTGGCATGTTGTGGAGATACTCCATTCCTTTGGCCACATCTAGGGCTATGGTCAGCTTTGATTGGATATCAATTAATCTGGAAGATCAATTTGAATAGAACTGTAAGTTTGGCTCCGTGATATAAGACTGTAACAAGGTTAACATGCTGCTAAATCTGGTACCACTCACCTCTTCTGTTCATGTAACAAACTAAACAGTGAACCACCAGATACATAGTGGGTAACTATAGCAAATTGCTGTCAACAGAAAGGTAAGGCAACATAAGAATTAGTTAAGTTTTGAACCATTTTTATAAAATAGACACACACAAATTATCCTGGAATATACTTATGATCAAACAAAAATGGCATGTAGAAAAGAAAGGCTAATTACATTTAAATACAGGGGAGAATAAAGGGGTGCACTAAAACATTTAGTCAGGAGAAAAAAAACACTTGTATTTGTTTATTTGAGTAACATCTTGTTACCATTGTTTAAAAAGTGAGGTAAACTTACACTGGGATCATCAAGACAAGCCCCAATGAAGTTGATGACATATGGACTGTTGAGTTTAGCCAGGATTGCCACCTCCCTACAAAACATGTCCACATCAGACTTGGCACCAAATGAACTGGCACGGTACCTGAGTTAGATACATTTCATTAGGTGAGGTGAACAGAAGTAAGATGGTGCTATGATAGATATCATACAGTGTGGTGAACAACTACAAGACAGTGCCTATTAATCTAGATATCATGAACTAAACAATAAGAGAACACACATTACATATATATATAAGAAAATATGTTAACCTTTTAATAGCAACAGTTCGACCTTTACATTTTCCTTTATAAACCTTTCCAAAAGATCCTGAACCAATTGTTTCCTGGAATTCTAAGTCTGTGATTTGTAAATGGAACTGATGAGACAGAGTAGCTCTCAGCTGTAGAACATCTATCTTTTCTGTAGAAAAGTAATGGCAGTTTCATCATAGTAAAAATATTAAATGGAAGATTGAAAATAATTTTAATGTATTTTACACAAAGAAAAATCTATAGTTACCTTTGGTCATACTGCGTAATTTTCCTAAAGGTGATGGCACGGCAACATAAGAACCATCTAGGCTGCCAGGCTGGGAGTAGTCACCACAAGCTGATTCATCACTTGGTCTTTTATAGTGTTTCAGCAGTGTCACAATGGAGTCAAATCCTACATACCCAGCCAATACAAATAGGTAATATAACATGATTATAAAAGCCAATTATAATAAACATTATACTACTTTTATAGTGTTTCAGCAGTGTCACAATGGAGTCAAATCCTACATACCCAGCCAACACAAGTAGTTAATATAACATGATTATAAAAGCCAATTATAATAAACATTAAACTACTTTTATAGTGTTTCAGCAGTGTCACAATGGAGTCAAATCCTACATACCCAGCCAATACAAATAGGAAATATAAAATGATTTTATTAGATTACTGTTCTATACAAAGACTGACCTCTTTCATAAGCCCACATCAAAGCAGTTTGCTCCTCTCTCTTCTCACTGTCCCCACTCTGGTCACTGATAGCTGCGACTAAGTTCATGTCAGCCCTGTTCTCCAGCAGGAACTGGACACACCTAATGTGACCATGGTAACAAGCACTGTGGAGAGCTGTGTGGCCATCTTTACCTTGGTAGTTTATGTCCACAGATGGCTGCTCCAATAAGAACTTGACAAGCTCCAGATTTTTGCCATAGGTGCAAGCACTGGAATAATTAGTGTAAGCAAGCATTAGTACTGTAAATAAATTTCTAGCACAAATTTTAAGTTTTAAATCATAAGAATTGGTGTGAAAAATAAAATTAATATGCAGTGTGATATATATCTTAATATTGTTATAAAAGAAATAATTTTGATACTTATTAAACTGTCTAACCTGTGTAATGGTGTTTCACTGAACAAATTCTCCATGTTTAAGCTATCTTGACCTGTCTGTGATATCAGCTGTTTAGCTATCTCAAGTTTACCATTGTAACAGGCCCTGGGGAAAAAGTTTAGAGAAAATTTATCTGAGCTACTGGAGCACTGTTTGTATTAGCACGAACATTCGCTTGAGTTATCTCAACAATGAAAAAATAAGAAAGCTGAGAACAAATAACCTACAGATGAAGTGGTGTATCTCCATAAATGTTGACCTCATGTGGCAAGGCTTGATGGTCAAGTAAATAATGCAGGGTGACCAGATGACCAGACTTACAACAGAAATGAAGTGGGGTGTGACCTTCATCATCCTTAACATTTACTAGAAAAAATGAAGTGGGGTGTGACCTTCATCATCCTTAACATTTACTAGAAAAAATGAAGTGGGGTGTGACCTTCATCATCCTTAACATTTACTAGAAAAAATGAAGTGGGGTGTGACCTTCATCATCCTTAACATTTACTACAATTTTAAAAATATATTTTAACAAGATTTACAAAATGAATAGAGTTTAGACCTTTATCATTCTACAAAATAAATGTCACTAACCATCTGCCTTTTGTTGTGATGTTCCTTCAACTAAGAGCTGCATGATTTTAAGATTAGCTTTAGAGCTGGCTAAGTGTATAGGTCTGTCCCCCACGCTGCCACTGATGTTGATGTCAGATCCATTACTCAGCAGTAACTCAACTACCTGGCATAGTACAAACACTTTAAAAAGCTGCTTGACTGGAGGTATCAGTTTAATGTCAAATGTTTTTGTAAATATAATTGGTAATAAAACATTGCATATACAGAACAGGTGGTAAACATATTTAAAAGACTGAGATGTTTTAATATTTTAAAGATTATGCGTAATTATAATTTTATTTTAAGCATTGTTTAATATTTTATAAACAATTAAATAAGCATTATAAAGAAAAAAATACCTTTTCATGACCAAAATGGCAAGCTATATGTAGTGAGGTAAATTTAACAAGGTCCCCCATATCAATTTTGGCACCACTTTCCAGCAAAATTTTTGCTATCTGTTGCATATAAAATTATGTATTATGACAATGATTACAAAATACAGTTCATAGTTTTAAATAAGCCAGAATCAAAATTGATTTTTTTTCTGTCTTTAATTCACCTAGGTAAAAGATCAGATTTTGACATTTAAAAAAAAATGACTAAAAACCTCATGGTGACCACACATAGCTGTTATATGAAGGGCAGAAACTCCGCTGTGACCAGTTTGATTTACATCAGCTCCATGGGTAATCAATACTTCAACTTGCTCAGAATCACCCTCAAAAATAAAAGTACAAGATTATGCTTTCTCTGAGCTTTCAATCAATGTCTAAAGTTGTTTTTTAATCGACAGCTTTAAAAATAATTTAATTCTTATATAAATAATTTATACAACAATTAAATTATTTATTAAATTCAATGCAAATTATTAACCTACCCTATATGTGGCCAAATGCAGAGGTGAGAATTGATTTTTACTTAAAACATTGACATTAGCTCCTTTTGTAAGAATTCTTTCTAACTGTATAGAAGGAACTGAAAAATGAATTAAACAGTTTTCATTATTAAATTGCCCTTAAATAATAATAACAAAAATGTAGTTTAATCATCATGAGAAACAACACATTTATTTGGACAATGCACTTGTGCAAGATCTCACCTCCTGCTATACAGGCTATATGGAGTAAAGTAAGTCCAGCCTCTGTTTTCTCTTGAATGTTTGTTTCCTCTAACAATTTACTAAGGTGATTCAGATCTGAAGTGCTGCCAAAAGACAATGATCACCTCATTTGTTCTAGGTCTTGCAAAATACTGAATCTCAATTATTTTAAAGTAAAGATAAGCTGGCATAAAGGTAGCTAAATAAATAAAGAAAAATTCATATAATAAAAATGACTACTTTGTGGCAGCAAGCTGGATTTCTGACCATTCTGAATCTTTGGATCGCAATTCTTCTATGACTTTTGATCTAAATAATGCATAACTCTCACTGATTTTCTTTTTTAATTCATCTGTAAAAAATAAATAAATATTTGCTTAGTAGGTATAAATAATGAATTGATCAGTAATTTGGTATAATGCAATTTTTGTGTTTAGTTATTGACAATAATTATAAGCAGTGCTTTTCTGTATCTTGCTGAAAGGCACACAGCAAGATGCCATATATTTTAACCACAAGTCCATTTTATTCCACACAAAAAGAGACATTTGCCATTTGCCCATTTTGACAAAGCTCACTAGGTCTAAATAGCCAATAGCTAGGTTTAACAATTAATTGCTTTACTGTGCCTACACAATAATAATAATGGCTAAATGTACATATTTATACACATTACCTGTACAAGAAATTGTTGGTCTTGATTTATAATTTCCCATTATAACTTGGTCTGTTTGTTAAATTGTGCTAATTAATTTCTGTTGAGTAAAATATTTAAATGTCAGAACTTTCATGGGTTGATGTACTCTAATGTGTTCTGCTTGAGTTCCCAAAATTTTAAATGCAATACATTAGCATGCAAATGAGCAAAAGCCTATGATTTGGTGCTTAAAAATAAGATATGGATCCTAGTTTTCTATGGTACTAAAAATCAAAATGCACTTATTACTCTGCAGCAAAGTTCTATGCTTTTATTAAAAGCTAACAACAAATTTATTTTACAAGATGAGAATCAACTAGACAGGGTTTTTATTCATGATTAGTCATATTGAGGACACCCCCTACCCCCACATGACAAGCCTAAATGATGAAATTTACAAAATCAAGTCCTACCATTGTTTGGATGAGAGGTCATTTCCACAATAAATCTGTGAAACAGTACGATAAAACATACCAATAGTTATTAAATTTAAATAAATGTTAAAAATGGTAAATGAAACGAGTCACCCTCACCTTCTAACTTATAACCCAAAATCTGATCTAGGCACATCACAATCTCATGTTTGCCTACATTTTGCTAATACTAAGATCATATTTCATCTACATTGTATAGTTCCTGTATTTGATTGTCATATTTTTTTTTGTAAACAAAAGAACTAACTATTTAACCTGAAAATTAACATGGCCTTTTGTATGTCCATATTTTTGGCCATATGTTCACAATGTCAGCCTTTTTGTCCTACACCTAATTTATTATATATAATATGAATTATTTGGCTATATGATAGATTAGTTGTTAAATAAGTGCTGCCAAAATGACCATGCAGAGTTTTTTAAACTGAATTATTTTAGTACCCAAACTATTTAAGTTAGAGACTTACATTTGGTGTTTTATTTAGCTTACTTGAAATGGATATATCTACATTGCTGTGGAATAGGTCAAATAAATAAGATTAAATTAATTTAAATATATCTAAATCTAAATTTCAAATTCTAAACATTGTCGCCCGCTTCTCACCCGCTCACATTTTCTTGTCAGCGTAAAAAAATACAGCCATTTGAGGGGTCACAGTCAGTGCATATAAAAACAAACCTAGGTCAGAGCCTGAGCAATAACGATTTGACAATCTTGCTTGGGGGCATTGTTAGTTCATATAGTCTTGTACTTGTTGGTGACGCAAAAGATGCACAAAAAAGAGTGCAGGGATAATTTTGTTTCCTTGAATAGTTAATAGGCTAAATAGAGAGCATTTATAGAAACTGGCGTGGGGTCGGCGTGGTCGAGTCGGTAAAGCTCATGGTTGCTAAACCGAAAAGTCTCGAGTTCGAACCCTCGGGCAGATGAGGCTCGTTAGCTGGGGACAGCCACTCTTCTAGGAGAGACAACTCCAAAATTAAACAACTGCTGCCTTGTAGTTTGTTCTTGGTTGGACAAAGGCTATGGAAGCAAATCCAAAAAGAAAAGCAGGCTGAAATCGGAGTCAATGGCCTCAATGGCGCATAACCAGTTGACACGTAACGCTTAATTGTGTTGGAGGCGTGGTCGAGTCGGCAAAAAGCTCATGGTTGATAAATTCGAACAAAGTCTCGAGTTCGAACCCATTGGCAGATAAATCTCGATCCCCTTCAACACTAATAATTAAGAACGAAGAAGAAGAAGAAGATAGAAACTGGCTAAGAATGACATGTACATGGTGCAAAATATAGGCCTAATAATTTTTTATTAGGCCTAATACAATAATAAAACACTAGGCCTACTCACTTACTACTACTACTACTCAGTACTTGACAAAATATGACAAAATTAAATTGTAGTATTAGGCTATTAGTAGCTTGAATTATGGATTTTTTAAAATAAAATATTCTGTTATTTCAAATACACCATTAAGTTCCTTACCCCTTAAGAGAACATTTGACACCACATTTAAATATCTAGCTTAATCGGTTGACGAGAAAAGAGAGAATTTAAAATTTTTCCGAGAATGGAAAATGAAAGTCAGAACATCGTTTTTGCTCCTCGACCGGCATAACATGACGTCGTGGACTTGTGTGCACGAGCTTTTAATTCCCGCCAAGGTAATTGCGTCAGCTTAGGTTATTTACTCACCGGAAAATAACAAAAAGCAACTGGTTGATAATAAAACTAGATCTAGTTATTTTATTATTTATTAAATTCTACTCTACATGTTATTCATACCATTTTATGAAGTAATGAACACCTGCATAAATCAAATGACCATAATAAATATTTTTATTTCAAATTCTAATTTTAAATAGGCCTAATAAATATGCATAAAATAATATGATAGTAATAGTTAAGAGTTAAGATAGTTTATAAATACAAATACATTTTACACTCAATCACATTATATTGAGTCAACAGTGTGGCAGCTGAGGTTCATACATGGTATTAGTGTCTTTTTTTTTTTACATTACATTTTTTTTTTCATCTTGAAAACATGACGTATGTGATTTTTTTAAAAATAAAATCTCCAAACATCGTCACTCGCGTGATTGCTTGCTTATGTTTACTATCCTGTGGATGAAAAATCCCACCACGGTCGCGGGGTCACCGTGACTTCAGCAGGCCTATAGTACAAGTCATAGAATGAACACGCGCAGACGAGATGGTCGGTGTCTTCACTTCTCTCTCCCCCCCCCCCCCATCCTTCTTCAAGCTAATTGAAAAACAGACCTATTTCCCTTCTGGTAATTTTTTTTTTTAAAGCTCGGTCGTTTTTTTAAAGTTCGCATATCAGCCAGCTGTATAAAAAAAAATATTTTTTTAACTAGATCTACGCTACGTCTAGCTTAAAAAAATAAATAAATAAACGCTTAAAATGCCAGTAAACAGATTATTTAGCGCCAAAAAAAAAAAAAAGGCCGCTGAACGAGCATTTTTTAAAATACGCAGCAATGAAAAAGGCTAACGGCCAATCAATTAAGTCTAAATCTCGCCCGTAATTAGGCCTAGCGCTGAAAAAGGCCACTGAACGAGCATCACTGATTATATAAACGAATAGGCCACGCGGCGTTGACGAGGTTAACCACCGGTCACGAATGCAGCAACGGTCGGCCCACAGTGAAGAAAAAATCAATATACTAATAAAATTACTAATACAATAATAATGTCCATAATTTTACTTTTTCCGCACATGCTACAATTGAATAATATTTAATAATAATTAAAATACTAAACTTAACAGTTCATTCCGTAAAAAACAAAAACTAGTTGTTTCAGTCTGGCAACTAGCGTAGCAATGACGTCATGATACTAAAAATAGCGGATAGAAATGTCAGGGTGGGTACCTCATTTTGGAATTAGATTTTGGAAAGTAGAATCGATATTACTGTAAATATACATGGTAATTATCTCAATTATATATTAATTTAGTGTTATCGGAGCCGTTTTCCCCGTTATTGGGTCGTTTTTGGCCGAGGTTCAGTTTTTACGGAGAGTGCTCCACTAGAAATCCTCTCATTATTTACAAACACAATTCTCGCGATTTTTTCTGGCATTCTAAGGCATATTATCCATTTTATTAGCATTTTGTGTTAAAATAATGATCAGAGTTGGCGAGATAAACAGTTCTTTAATTTGTCGTGGATAGGACCCCTAAAATAAACGTAGAAACCGTCAGAAAACGACGCGTGACGTTTCAGGGTCAGAGGTCAATCCAGCCATCTAAGTGACGAACCGGCCTACTATTAGTAGTCTGGCGCATTGCTTAGATGGCAGGATTGACCTCTGACCCTGAAACGTCACGCATCGTTTTCTGACGGTTTTTCCGTTTATTTTAGGGGTCCCATCCACGACAAATGAAAAAACTGTTTATATCGCAAATTCTCATCATTATTTTAATGCAAATTGCTAATAAAATGGATAATATGCCTTAGAATGCCAGAAAAAATCGCAAGATTCGTGGTTGTAAATAATGAGAGGATTTCTAGTGGAGCACTCTCCGTAAAAACTGAACCGCCGCCAAAAACGACCGACTAACGGGGAAAACGGCTCGACTAACTGTACATTAATATATAATTGATATATTTATCATGTATATTTACAGTATTTTTGATTACTTTTTCTAAAATCTTCCTCGAGGATGAGGTACCCACGCTGACATTTCTATCCGCTATTTTAAGTATCATGACGTCATTGTTACGCTAGTTGCCAGACTGAAACAACTAGTTTTTGTTTTTTACGGAATTAACTGTTAAGTCTAGTATTTTAATTATAAATCAATTGTAGCATGTGTGGAAAAAGTAAAATTATAGACATTATTATTGTATTAGTAATTTTATTAGTATATTGATTTTTTCTTCACTGTGGGCCGACCGTTGCTGCATTCGTGACCGGTGGTTGACCTCATCAACGCCGCGTGGCCTATTCGTTTATATAATCAGTGTTGCTCGTTCAGTGGCCTTTTTCAGAGCTAGGCCTAATTACGGGCGATTTTTAGACTTAATTGATTGGCCGTTAGCCTTTTTCATTGCTGCGTATTGTAAAAAATGCTCGTTCAGCGGCCTTTTTTTTTTTTTTGCGCTAAATAATCTGTTTACGGGCATTTTAAGCGTTTATTTATTTATTTTTTTAAGCTAGACGTAGATCTAGTTTAAAAAATATTTTTTTTATACAGCTGGCTGTCTAGCATGCCTGATATCCGAACTTAAAAAAAAATGACCGAACTAAAAAAAATGACCAGAAGTAGGGAAGTAGGTCTCTTTTTCAATTTGCTTGAAGAAGAGGGGGGGGGGGGGGAGAGAAGTGAAGACACCGACCATCTCGTGTACGCGTGTTCATTCTATGACGTGTACTGTAGGCCTGCTGAAGTCACGGTGACCCCGCGACCGTGGTGGGATTTTTCATCCACAGGATAGTAAACATAAGCAAGCAATCACGCGAGTGACGATGTTTGGAGATTTTATTTTTAAAAAAATCACATACGTCATGTTTTCAAGATGAAAAAATGTAATGTAAAAAAAAAAAAAGACACCAATGCCATGTATGAACCTCAGCTGCCACACTGTTGACTCAATATAATGTGATTGAGTGTAAAATGTATTTGCATTTATAAACTATGTTAACTATTACTATCATATTATTTTATGCATATTTATTATTTAAAATTAGAATTTGAAATAAAAATATTTATTATGGTCGTTTGATTTATGTAGGTGTTCATTATTTCTTAAAATGGTATGAATAAAATGTAGAGTAGAATTTAATAAATAATAAAATAACTAGATCTAAGTTTTATTATCAACCAGTTGCTTTTTGTTATTTTCCGGTGAGTAAATGACCTAAGCTGACGCAATTACCATGGCGGGAATTAAAAGCTCGTGCACACAAGTTCACGGCGTCATGTTATGCCGGTCCAGGAGCAAGATTCTTGTTTTGTCATTCATTTTCCATTCTAGCTAAATTTTCAAATTCTCTTTTTTCTCGTCAACCGAATAAGCTAGATATTTAAATGTGGTGTCAAATGTTCTCTTAAGGGGTAAGGAACTTAATGGTGTATTTGAAATAACAGAATATTTTATTTTAAAAAATCCATAATTCAACCTACTATTAGGGCTAGTATTTGCACATTTTTCTGGAAACAATCATTATCATATCCTATGCCTTGGCCTTGATAGAAATCATGAAATGTTAGCAAAATGCCTGAATAAATTTTCTAATCACCTGTCACAGCCTGTCTCAGTGATGATGAGTGATGATTGAGAAAAGAATAAAGAAGGTGATTGACTGAGTTTCTTAGGCCGCTTGGAAGGTCTTTTGTTTTTTGCATATGTTTATTCTGAATGGTTCAATAAAACGGTTGATTAACCTTGTAATCATGTTATGTCGATACCAGACGTGAAATCTCACGAAGACAATATGTGGTCTTTTAGACTTTAGATTAGAATGTTTCCACGATATCTTCAAAGATAAAAATCAAAACTTTGTTTTTCTTTAACAACTCTTCAAGTAAGAAAATTAATCTAGATTCTACGCTGTTATATTAAGAATAAAGTAACTTTATTTACAAAACTATTTAAAATATCTATCTTTAGTACTATATTCTAGTTGGCTAATTATTAATATGAAACGATTTATTTTGCCATAGTATTAAAATAAAATAATTTTAATTAGATCTAGAATGTAGATCTACTTTTTAAAATGTTTTTTAGTGAAATATCGAATTATTTTGTTTTGCTGCAAGCCTAGATGTTACTTTTTACATTTGGAAAAGCAGTGAATGGTCATGATAAAACAAATATAAAAAGTCGATAATTCTACCTGGCTCTGAGTCTATTGTCACAATACTACTAATGAAATAACTAACCAATCTACCCTAGTAGTAGATTTTCAGTCTACAACAAATATTATATATCAAAGTCTATATCTATAATAACTTTAATAAGGACACTAAAGAAAACATGAACATGGAAGTTTTAAACTTTAATGTTGGCGTTTTGGGACATGTTGACAGTGGTAAAACCAGTCTATCCAAAGCACTGAGTACCGTGGCTAGCACCGCTTGTTTTGATAAAAATCCGCAGAGTAAAGAAAGAGGGATTACTTTAGATCTTGGATTCTCTTCTTTTACTGTTGATATAGAAGAAACAAAGAAAAAAGAACTGACTGGTTACAGCAGAGTTCAATACACCCTGGTTGACTGTCCCGGTCATGCAAGTCTTATTCGTACAATTATTGGTGGTACTGTAAACCATTCTAATCAATTATTTATGATTATTTTTATTAGGCATATTGTTATACAATTATTTATTGAATTGGCTTTAGCCCTTTTTATTATATGATTATAAGAAATACTCATATGCTGGTATTTCAATAGGATCATTAATTTCTGCTTTTATTAAAGAAAAAAAAAACAACTAGGCTATTAAATTATTTAAAATTTGGGCACACATGGTCTGCCTGAATTTTTTTGCCCTTGAAAGTCTAGTTGACTAGTTTATTAAACCAATAACCACTAGCCTATACATTTTTTTTTCTGTTTAGAATAATAGTAGAAGCATGTGTTGTGATGGCTTTATCCATGCTTCGTTGATGTTATAACAAAAAGCTATATTTACTACTTATCATTTTTTAATGGTTATTTTTAGATTAAAAAAATATTATCTTATTATAGTACTAGCAAAAAGTACCCAACTGCAATACGAATTATTATAATTACAAACTTTAATAAGTTAGGCCTACATACTTGTCTAGGCCTAATTTGATTATAGAATAATAATTTCTGAGTTAAATAATTCAATTCTGTTTTACTTCAGGTGCACAAATTATAGATTTGATGATGCTAGTTGTTGATATAACAAAGGGCATGCAGACCCAAACAGCTGAATGTCTCATCATAGGGGAGATAACTTGCACTAAAATGATTGTGGTATTAAACAAGCTGGACATGATTTCACCTGAAAAACAAGCTGCTGCAGTAGATAAGGTCTGATATTGGGTAGAAAAGCAAAAAAAAAATTTGATGTCACACCTTTCCATTTTTAAAAGTTATTTATAAAAACAGAATTTTTGTAGCAATTTTGCATTTTTATTTTATGACTGTTTTGTAAATTGCTATGAAAAATTTATAAATATGCCAAATTTTGACCAATATATCTAGTATTATTATTATTAGATATCGATAAACAGTAATTTATTTATTTTCCTTGAGATAGAAAGACAGCTCCAATAAAATTTTGAAATGGAAATAGACATTTTGTTATTAGAATTAGATCAGCAAAAACAGATTTAGAGATCATCCTTATGCAAGATATTGAATGTACAGTCACCAACAAAAATTCACTATTATACATACTGTGTTTAGCAAAATTATCATCATAAAAGAAAAAGCTACTTTTAAATTTTTAAAATTTATTTAATCTTTTTTGGTGCTAAAAAATCAAGATGAAAAAGCGAATGTGGAAAACTCTAGAGACTACAAAGTTTGCTAGCTGTCCTATAGTTGCTGTTGCAGCCAAACCTGGGGGGCCAGAGGTATATTTTAAAATAATTGTGTTGGTTGGTTTAAGTTTCTATATGTGGTTTATTATTTATTTGTTAACAAATATGAATTATTTATCTATTGACAATGATATATTTCAAATGCAGTGGTTTCTCTGATTATAATGAGAATTTAGGTTATTTGCTGTATGATTTAGTTTTATTATTTATTGATTTTGTTGCTAAAGTAAAACTAAAATATGGTTTGGATTTTTTATTCAGGCACCTGATGTTGAAGGCATAGCAATCAGTGATCTGATTTCAACATTAATGAACAGCACCTATCTTCCCTCAAGATCAGAAAAAGGACCTTTTATATTTGCTGTTGATCATTGTTTTTCTATTCGTGGTCAGGGCACAGTTATGACTGGCACAGCTTTAAGTGGACAAGTTTGTGTAAATGATGTATGAAACACTCATTTTTAGAAATTGCATTTGCATTAAAAAATATATATATTAACATATTTGGAAATGATATTGTTAATTACAATTTAAGATAATAGTCGCCCTATAATTTTGAGCTTTTATTTTTCAGACCGTGGAAATACCCTCATTAGGTTTGTCCAAAAAAGTGAAGTCCATACAAATGTTTAGAAAGCCAGTTGAAAAAATTAAGCAGGTAGCAAAATGTAGTCTTAAAATTATAATAAATTGTATAATGCTGTGGTCAAATTCACAATAACTTGAAGTCAGTACTGTTAATACTATTTATAGTTTAAATTTTTTTATACCAGTTTGATTTAGATTCTTCAGGTATAAAGCTGTGGACTAAAGAAACTGCAGATGGTATTAAAATTTTCTTCTTTATTCTCTTTTTAAATAATTTTGTTCTCACTGACTCAACAGGGGGACCGTGCTGGTGTTTGTGTTACTCAGTTTGACCCAACCTTGCTAGAGCGTGGACTGGTTTGTTCTCTTGGAGCACTTGTCACAGTTGAAGCTGTCATTATAGGCATCCATAAAATAGCTTACTTCAAAAGTTCAATTACTACAAAATCAAAATTCCACATAACTTTAGGCCATGAAACTGTAATGGGCAGAGTATCAGTGTTTGGAATTTTAGAAGATAACTGTAAAGATACAGAACAGAAATTATCTGTTTTAATAAACAACATGCACATATCAGGAGAAGAGTTTGACTTCAGCAAGGAGTACATATACCTTGATGAAGTAATGGGTCCTGGGAAAAAAAGTGGAAATGATGACTTAAAAGAGCCAGAAGTAAAGCTGAGTCAGCAATATGCTTTATTAGAGCTTGAACGACCTGTCACCTGTTCTCCACATTCCCTTGTCATTGGCTCTCGGCTAGACGCGGATGTCCATACAAGTTCATGCCGCTTAGCATTTCATGGAAAAATCTTGGTTGCTATGAGTGATGTCAAATATAAAGAAACTATTCTCCCTAATGTTAAAGTATTTAAGGTAAGATAATATTCTGATAAAACTTTGTAATATTTGAAATTTCAAAAAATATGTTTGCACTTCTTCTGTATGAATACCTGACACTTCTGACTCATTTCAGGTGAAAACCAGAGAAGGGCAGGTAGAAAGGGCAACTGACAGATACTCTGTTATAGCTAAAAACCTTTTTAAAAAAGAAACAAATCTTTCTGCCTTTGCAAATCTTAAAGTTGTACTATCATCTGGTGAAAAGGGGGTCATTGAAGGAGGGTTTGGACAAAGTGGAAAAGTCAAAATTAGAATTCCAGGTAATTTTCTCACAGCTATTTTAAGGAGACATAATAAATCTTTTATTTTCTTAACTGATATCAATTTTTTTTATAATAATACAAATGCATTTTAAAATATTTCTCAACCTACTATCACAGAAGGTTTGAGTGATGAGGTTTATCAGCGCTACTCAGGATCCAGTAAAAAGAAAGGAAAATCCAAAGAGGAAGAGCCCTCTGCTGAAGTGAAAGAACCAATCAAGATTAGCCTCAACTTTAAACGTTACGTGTATGACCTTAAAAAAAATATGGTACAGAATGGATAGTAAAAGTGCTCAATTGTTTGTTTTGTACTGTGATAGACAATGTTCCAAAATTAATAAAACCTCCAAAATTATTGAAATCATTAACCACACTTTTAGTTAAAATGCTGGATTTCATTACTATTTATTTAAAAATGTTGTGCTAAAACTTTGTACTTCTTTAATTCCAGTGAACTAAGCAATATAACAATTGTTTTAGATTTTTTTATCAAATTTATTTGGTATTTTTCATTCAATTTTTAACCACATTGATGTCTTTTTAAAATGTGTTTACATTTTCTTTTTAAATTCTGACTTTGATCAGTGTTCCTCCAATGACAATTTAGAAAAAAACTTGCTTCAGAACTCTTTGGGGTACAAAATATTCAGAAATAGATACTAGCACAGTTCTTATACTTTCACTAGTTACCATAGGTTAATATTTGTTTAGCCTATTTTACAATTAAAAAAGGAAAATAATAAATAATTGTAATTTTTAATGCAATTTTGTCAAACAATAAGCTTTGTTAAATGGGAACTAACCCCTGGTCACTCTCGATCAACTTATAAAATAAATGTCTCATTCATGTTATTGTTAATTACATAGTAAAGACATTTTAAAAAAAAGATTCACTTTCTTTATTAAAATTAGTCTTACAACTTTATGGCAGTCCATGCAGTTAAATGGTTGGTTACATTAGTTGACCCATTGATCAAGTCCTTTGGACTAGTTTTAATGACATTTCTTTAACAGTGACATTGTTATTTTTAATGACAATCTCAAAATTTAAAAATAGCAGGAAATATTTTTTTAAGTATCATGTTATTTCAAATTGAAATAGGCTAAAAAAAGTTTCAAACTTTATGATGACATTCAAAACAATGCAACAGAAATGGAAGATTTTGATTTGCAAGTAACAAATAAATACCAACAAATGCAAATCTATGGATTCTGCAAATTTACATTTATCCTACTTTTTTTGAAAATTCTTTTATGTAATACACAGAAGAAAAAAATCATTAATGAGCAACATAATTTCTTTGGTTGCAAAATCACACCTGGAACAGTGATAAGATTTTTATGGTGAATTTAATTTCACATTTTGTTTAAATTTTTCCCCCAAATATAGTTGTTTAAACAAAATGAGGTATTTTTTTTTTAAATGCTTTACTGAGTATGAAAACTAGGTATCAAATTTTAAAATAGCCATTACATTATCACCAAATTATTCATTTGTCCCACAAATTAGAAACTAAGTTGAAAAATGTTTTCCACAACATACTACACAGAAACACCATCAACACTCTTTATTATATACATATTTAACAAAATTATTTCACACCTTTAAAAAGTATTACATAGAAATCAAGTTTAGTTAATTCATGAACACTCAGTAAGATACACTTTAAACAGATCCTTAAAAATACAGCTTAATAAATGTTCAATCTTTTGACTGATGGTTTGTGTGATCCTTAAACAGCATATTTAGAATAAACAAAAGAAAATGCATCTATGTTAATTTTTTTTAAAATCTAGATCTATGTGGTAAATCTTTTTGGAGTAAGAAAAAAAAAACAACAAAAAACATGGTTCAATTATATTGCAGAATATGGTTAGTGTTTTTGAAAGTATGTTTTTCCTTCATGATGAATGCAAGACTAGAAATAATTTTACAAGCCACATGTAAATAAATTGTTAGCTTGTAGGTATTGTGTATATACTATTGTATATAATTAGTTTGTGCAGATAACATACACACATAAACATACCTATAAAAATTTCATCATTTAACAACATAATAGCATCATGCTTTAAAAAAATAGATGAGATGATATGAGCATGGTTGTAGAAAGTTGTGGTTTTCTAAAGTTTGCAAAGTATGAAAGTAGTTAAATGACAGAAAAACTTTTAACAGCACCTATGCCACAAGATAAGCATTTTTAGTTTTTCTTTAAAAATGGGATCCATTCAACAAGCTGTCTGTAAAAAATAATTGTTTAAACTGTCTGGGTAAAAACTGTATGAAGTCCTCTGCTCCATTAGCAAATTCAAAATAATGGCACAACCATCAGATTGTTTATTTTGTGAAAACATTCTAAAAAAGATGAATTGTGTTATCTTTTTTTTTTTTTAGACTAAAGTTGTTTTGAAAGAAATAATAAATGAATTAAAAGATATTTTTAAATATTTAAAAAAAAATTCACTTTTACATCTAGTTGATCAAAAACTAAGATTTAAAAATGGTCCATTTTGTAATAATTGGTCCATAAATTAACAAACTTTCATGCAATTTTTATTACTATTACATACTTTTATCAATGATAATAATAAAATTGATGACAACATGCGTAAAATAAAATACTACATTAGCACAAATTATGAAATTAACTTTACTACATTTAAAAAGTGGCTCTGAACAGCAGCCTATTTAAACACTACATCATCATGCAATTTTAAAATATATATCAAGAATGGTATTGTTTTTTAAAAGACCGTAGCCATATATTTAAGAAATTAATCAAAAAATTATATATACAATCGTTTCATAAAGACATAATACATCCTGAAATAGCCACTTAAAGCCCATTCTACATATTTATTTTTAAGGATATGCTTGCATAGTCAAAATGACAGTATACTATGGTCTCTAATAAGTCGGTTCAATATTTGTAATACTACCTCCCCCTTCCAAAAGCATTGTAAGTTTAGACACATTTCTTTAAGAAAATATCTGGCATAGAGCATTGAGGTAAAAGTTATTTTTGTGCACAACCAGTCATATCTGTGTTGCAATGGTTCTATAAAACTTGTGAAAATTAAAAAGAAAAGGATTTTTAGGACAATGACAAAATGTGATGTACTGTGTTAAAATTAAAAACTAAGTAAACATCCTTTGAGGGAGCATTAGATCATTTAAAGATATATTAAATTATTATTTTCATATTAATACTCTATTTACATATAATTATTGATGTTAACTAGCAAAATTGTTAAAATATCACACTTTCAGAAAAATATAAACTTAAATAACATACAATAATTACTTGGCTTGAAACAAAGAATTTTACAGCTTTGAGTGATTTTTAATATGTCACAAACCTAGGAGTATTCTTTTGTTTTAGTTAAAAATAAATTATTTGTACATTTCTGGGGATAACTAGTGATGAAATGTTGATGAAACTTGAAATACAATCAAACAATAAAAAATAAAATTATAATAATAAGTAAAACCAAGCATAGAACACCAATAGCACACCACTGCCTACGATCTGTAGATGAAACAAATTTATTATCACATTTATCATAAATGGAAATTGGCAAATTTCCTAGAAAAACATACATCATTGAGTTCAGAGAAGGATAATATAAAATTAAATTTTCTAAATTAACTAATAATTAACAGTGAGATCAGTTTTAAAATGAATATTTTCCCCTGGATAATTACATTTTATTTAATGAGTCCATTAGTAAGTTTTTTTGTATCTATTGCATTTATACAGGCATTTGTTCTAGAATAAGTATGAATGATGAAGATGAATTTATTTAATTTAAAGCTATGTTATGAACATTTTACTACAAAACTTTTGTTATAACTGATTGCTCATAGGATGGTAATCTGTAACCTACCATTGGACATGTGCAAAACTTTAGCCATTTTTTTCATAGTTTGGTCCATTTTACTCTCTGTATTATCCATTTCATGATGAAATTCATCCAGCATTCTGAAGAAGAAACAGTGATAATTATTTAGATAAATACCTACAACACTCTCCCAATTACAAAAGAAAACAGACAAATCTACAATAAAAGCTATACAGCAATGAAACAGCCTGCCAAGAAGTACTCCAAGGGTTAAGAAAACCTGTCTAAACCAAACTTACATGTTCTGATCTTCTAGTTCATTGCCTATTTGTTGACTCATGTTCTTCAATACACCAACACTGGACCCAATCATGTCAAGCTGATCATCTTGTGTTTTTATCAATAGCTGTTTGGTAAACATTAATATATTCTTAAAAATAAAATTGACTCTGTCAGAAGTCTTTCATAAATTAAAAAAAAAAATCATTGCATATTTTTTGAAGTAAAATTAAATTAATTAAGGTTTATTTACAAAATGAAAAAAAACACCAAAATAACCATAACAGAACCTTGACAAAGTACATTTCTATGTAATGAAATAAATATTTCTACTGTATCCTCCTTACTTTTTGCTGCTGTTGAGTGTCACTGATGTAGCGCTGGTTGGCTTGTTCCATCTCTTCATCTAATCGCTTGTATTTATCTTGTGGAGCTTTAGGGCCATTGCCAGTAGTTGTCAAAAAAGCTTGTCTGGCATTAGGTTCTTCTCTCTGTCTATTTCCTGGACTAGAGATCTGACTTTTCATGTCCTACATAATAAAAAAAAAAATTAAACAAAATGATGAGGAAAGTCTTTGGATTAAGGTAACCAAGCAAGAATGAGTGCTGGAAATCTATTAACTCACTCTGACAGTTGATTTAGTCTTTTCTACAAAATTTCTTCTTTCTTGCAGTTCATATTCTGAGATTTTGAATTTTCTTGGATTTTTTTCAACAATGCGTTAATTGGGTTAAGGTTAATCTTATACCAAACTGTTTAATTTCAAACCTAATTATAATAAATTTAAATAGTGATCTTATTGGACATATTTTGATAAAAAAATGCTAGTGTTAAAGTAGGTATTCTTATCACATGGCCTACTTTTTAAAAATGGTATTTTTGGACAAGGTATCTGTGGAAATTAGCCAAACTTCATTTTCATTTATTAATTACTAGCAAACCCATACCACAAGTTGCTGCGTTCTCAGAAGAAAGGCTGATGAAAGAGGATTTCATCAAAGCATTACCTATTGCGTATAATTAAATGTGTAGCTTTGTTTCCTAAAACTGAATTATTTTAAATGTAATCTAGGCAGGCACTATATTTCTTGGATCATAGTTGTTGGGTCCCAGGGTTTGTCCACATTACTACCCAGATGCCCCAGGTGGTGTTGTATGAAAGCCTTGAGTGTACGTCAATCACCCTCAATAGTGGTGAGGTAGAACACACCTCAGAGACTGCTCATGTGTCAGAGAGTGTTGCAGGTATGACCCCTGATTAGATTTAATCCTCAAATGTCATGTGCTACAATGTCCCTTTAAAATGAAAATAAGTGCCAGGGGAGCAAAAGCATCTGATTCGAATTATGCAACAATCAGAGTAGCTCATTGTATTCATAGTGCATCACACTCTTTAAAATGAATGTAGGTGCCATATTGCTCATGAGGGGCCAAACTGCACCATTCTGGGATGCAGGCATGATTCAATTTAGTGAACGGTTATAGTAACCCATAGTTTCCATAGAGTATGACACTCATTAATAGGGAGGAAAGCCCAGGGTGGTAAATAGCTCCCAGCCAGGGCTCCAATTTTTCCCAATATGATTTTTTTCCCCTTAAAAACCTCTCCAGGAGTATACTCAACAACTTCCCAAAGTTTCATGGCGATCAAATGAAAGGTGCAGCAATGCATAAAGGACTAACAAACAGGTAAATAGAGAGACATTTGATAATTTATGATAAAACTGTTCTAATAAAATCCAAAAAATGTATTTATAATAAGCTTTTATTTAAGTCTTAATGTCTGTGTGTAAGTTTGTTGCAAACTTGTATTTCATTTTGACTTAATTCTAATGCAGTGTTTTCCTTCACACTTTCCAGATAAATTAGTTGCAAAATATGAATATCTATTTTTCAGAGTAATTAGATATTAAATTAATCAATAAAATAATTAAAATATTACAATATTCAATAACAAATAGGGAGGCAACAAGATTAAGAAGTATCAATAACTGATGAGACAGGTGAACTGTTTACTGATGTTTTCACACATGAAAGTTGATTTTGGAGTCTAATAAGGGGCAGATAATAGTCATTTTGAGTTACTAATCAAATAATAACAAATAAATTTAGTCATGTGGGGTGTCTACAAAATTAAATTGAACTAAATAAGGTACTGTTTTAACAACTTGAATATCGACATTCTTAAATTTTTAAATAAATACTAAAAAGTATGGAAGAATAAATAAAAGAAGAATAATAACCTTTATAATAACAAGCATTTAAAAGCCCTATAATTAAGGAAGAAAACATAAATTGTCTTCTATGCGTGATGGTCAGAGAAAATAGTCAAATGATTTCTTGAACCACAAACAGTTTCATTTTCACTATTATATCTAAAGGCAGTTATGTTTATTTTCTAATTTTTTGTTCATCTGAAACATTATAACGATAATTTTTATTCTTATTTTCTTGATATTATACAAGTTTTAACATGTTATGTCAAAGGATATCTACTGTTTCTTCTAAATCTTCTAGATCCCATTCTATACTGCGAAGACTGTTTCGTAGTTCATTTGTGGTATATTCCACTTCTTCTCTTGAAGACATTCCAGCATTTTCTTGCAGTTCTCTCCATCTTGAAAATAAATTTCTTACCACTACTAATGCTTTTTGCACCTCACTGAAAAAAAAAAAAGTTGTTACCTGTATAAAAATAACAAAAAAAAAACAACAAGAAACAAAACAAAAATTAAATGAACATAAAATTTACATAATGTGATATAAAGATAAGCGGTATTGTCTTAAATTATCCTTAATACGAACCTAATTCTAGAACATCAACTAAAAACAGTGTCTAGGACAAAAACCCTTGTCAATTACCCTCCTACAATGGTAATTACCCCCTCTTGAAAATACCTATTCAAGATGTGACTGGCTCACAGGCAATAGAATGAACTAATCTCCCCTCTCCAACCCCCAGAAATTTTCCTAACCCCTATCTCTAAGATTACCTAACTGCAGGGGGTAGGTGTTATACTAGGTTAAGGTATAGGGTCCATTTGTATTTCATAATGGGACAATGTCCCACTCCAGTTTCAGGGCATGGATAACTGACCTGAGGAAATGTTGAAGAGAAATGACAGGGGGTAATTAACAAGGGTTAATGCCCAACTCCCTAATGAACAATATTTGATGTAACGGTAGTGTGATTGTAGAAAATTGTCATTTAAATACTTACTCTTTGACAGAGAAAAATGGATCGCTAACAGACATGTTTATCAAGGTTCAAACACATTTAATTTACAACTGCAAGTAAAATCTGCCAATAGGAAATAAAAATAATGAGTACAAATAATTTTTTATTAGACAAAATTAAATATAAAAAAGTAGTGGTCAATTCATCAACATTACAGTTTTTCCACTGTTGTTTCACTTTATACTGTATGTTACTAAGCTTACTACTATATTTCATGATTACACTTATTTTGAGGTTCCAGCAACATTGGACAGATTATTTAAATTTAAAAAAAAGAGCCTACAAGTGTAAGTGAGGAAAAGTTACAAAAAAAGTTCAGTATGTAGGTAGCCTGACTTATTTAAAAAGATTGTTTATCTTATTGTCTTCAGTTTATATTTAAATCAATCATTCATTGCAAAAATTCCCACAGGATGGTTGAGGCCACAGATTAAAAGGGTCAATTTGAAAAATTATCGAAAAGAGTTTAGCATTAACTATGATTAACAGTATAATTAATAAGTGACTGATGTGAAGGTCCTTTTCCCTTCTGTAACTGCTGTTAGGCCCTACTGTAAATACTAGTATGATTACAGTGGTACAGTGAGATACAAATGTAATTTGTACCCTAGTACATATTTGTCAACTTAAATTGCTCACAGTATAGCATAGGAGTAGGAGATTATTCAGTAATGAACTAATGTTTGATGAGTTTCGTAAACATTAGTAGGAGATTATTCAGTAATGTTTGTTGAGTTTCGTAAACATTAGTTACTGTAAACCATTGATTATTTGACCATTGAAATATATAGTTGTTTGTACTAAATTAATGTTTTAACTTAATTTTGACTTATTTCAAGTTTAATTGTCATTGATTCAAGGAAAACAAATAAATTATTAAATAGGGCAGGCTAGTAGAATTTTATTGGTAGATCTAGAATCTAGATCTACTCTAAAATTAATTAAGCCCTTTATTATAGGCCTAAAGAATATTTTAATATAAAAATTAAAAGTAAAATTAAAATTAAATAACTTGCACAGGATTTGCAACAATCAAGAATCAAGTGGACAAGAAACTTATTACAAGATTTCTAGATCTAGATCTACGACAACCGAACCACTACCAACCAGAGAATGAGATATACTATGTGACTGTAACTCAAACTGTACTGTAAGTGTTGAACTCCTGTCTGATACAACTACCTAACTAAAAATAAAAAGAAATTGCGGTAGTGACTCCGTACTTATGTACTCGGACTTGGTACTAGGTAGATCTAGATCTAGTAGTACTCTGATAATAACTCTGTAGTAGTCTAAAGATAGAATCTAGATCTAGTAGTAGTAAGTAGTTCTACAAGTCTAGATCTAGTATAGCAGTAGAGATATTCTAATCTAGATCTAGATATCTAATGAATAGACTGTATAATAGACTATATCTAGTAGAGTATTAGACTATTAGTGTATTGTTGACTTTTGTCTTTCTTCACACATATCTGCCACCATTTTGTTTTTATTACGTCATGAGGGAATTCCTAAGGGTTTCCCCAACCTCTGTGAATTATTTTCAAATTTAAAAAGTATGCTAAACGGTTTAAGAGAATAAACAAACGAGTAGATTCTAGAATCTAGTTACCACTGCAATAAGTAATAAGTAATTGAAAGAAAAATTCGTAAAGTTTGCTTTAAAATAAATAATTATTATGTCACCAGTATATTTTAACGGATTGTCTAATAATAATAACACGGGTTTTAATTTTTATTTAAATTGTTTTATAAACAGCAAAAGAAAGTTTTATAGGCACATTTAAGATGGCGGTATACACAAATGGTTTGAATTTTTCTGAAGTCTACCGACAACTTAATGTTATTTGAGCTTTTTATATTTGTTAGACTGCAGTATAGTTACTACTGCATGTATACACTTGATTAAATTCAAATTACAATGAATATTGCACGTTCATGGGAAATTTTAGAAGCCATATTATCTGACTTCGTAAGTATTTTTTAAGAACCTGGCCTACTCAGACTCGCTCTTCACTTCTTCACTAACTTCTCGAATCTCTAGCTAGTAGGTTAAATTATGGATTTTTTAAAATAAAATATTCTGTTATTTCAAATACACCATTAAGTTCCTTAAGAGAACCCCTTAAGAGAACATTTGACACCACATTTAAATATCTAGCTTACTCGGTTGACGAGAAAAGAGAGAATTTGAAATTTTTCCGATATTGGAAAATGAAAGACAAAACCGCGTTTTATCCCCTCGACCGGCATAACATGACGTCGTGGACTTGTGTGCACGAGCTTTTAATTCCCGCCCTGGTAATTGCGTCAGCTTAGGTTATTTACTCACCGGAAAATAACAAAAAGCAACTGGTTGATAATAAAACTAGATCTAGTTATTTTATTATTTATTAAATTCTACTCTACATGTTATTCATACCATTTTATGAAGTAATGAACACCTGCATAAATCAAATGACCATAATAAATATTTTTATTTCAAATTCTAATTTTAAATAATAAATATGCATAAAATAATATGATAGTAATAGTTAAGATAGTTTATAAATACAAATACATTTTACACTCAATCACATTATATTGAGTCAACAGTGTGGCAGCTGAGGTTCATACATGGTATTAGTGTCTTTTTTTTTTTTTTTTACATTACATTTTTTTTTCATCTTGAAAACATGACGCATGTGATTTTTTTTAAAAATAAAATCTCCAAACATCGTCACTCGTGTGATTGCTTGCTTATGTTTACTATCCTGTGGATGAAAAATCCCACCACGGTCGCGGGGTCACCGTGACTTCAGCAGGCCTATAGTACACGTCATAGATTGAACACGCGTACACGAGATGGTCGGTGTCTTCACTTCTCTCTCTCTCTTTCCCCCCCCCCCCCCACCCTTCTTCAAGCTAATTGAAAAACAGACCTATTTCCCTACTCCTGGTCATTTTTTTTTAAAGCTCGGTCATTTTTTTTTAAAGTTCGTATATCAGGCATGCTAGACAGCCAGCTGTATAAAAAAAATTTTTTTAACTAGATCAACGTCTAGCTTAAAAAAATAAATAAATAAACGCTTAAAATGCCCGTAAACAGATTATTTAGCGCAAAAAAAAAAAAAAGGCCGCTGAAAGAGCATTTTTTTAAATACGCAGCAATGAAAAAGGCTAACGGCCAATCAATTAAGTCTAAAAATCGCCCGTAATTAGGCCTAGCTCTGAAAAAGGCCACTGAACGAGCATCACTGATTATATAAACGAATAGGCCACGCGGCGTTGACGAGGCTAACCACCGGTCACGAATGCAGCAACTGTCGGCCCACAGTGAAGAAAAAATCAATATACTAATAAAATTACTAATACATTAATAATGTCCATAATTTTACTTTTTCCGCACATGCTACAATTGAATTATAATTAAAATACTAGACTTAACAGTTCATTCCGTAAAAAACAAAAACTAGTTGTTTCAGTCTGGCAACTAGCGTAGCAATGACGTCATGATACTAAAAATAGCGGATAGAAATGTCCGCGTGGGTACCTCATTTATGAATAAGATTTTGGAAACCAGAAACAATAATACTGTAAATATACATGGTTAATATCTCAATTACATATTAATGTAGCCGTATACGAGCCGTTTTTCCCGTTATACGGCCGTTTTTGGCGGCGGTTCAGTTTCTACGGAGAGTGCTCCAATAGAAAACCTCTCATTATTTACAACCACAATTCTCGCTATTTTTTCTGGCTTTCTAAGGCATATTATCCATTTTATTAGCATCTTGTGTTAAAATAATGATGAGAATTTGCGATATAAACAGTTTTTTCATTTGTCGTGGATGGGACCCCTAAAATAAACGTAAAAACCGTCAGAAAACGATGCGTGACGTTTCAGGGTCAGAGGTCAATCCTGCCATCTAAGCAACGCGCCTGACTACTAGCTAGAGTCTAGACAACTCTAGAGTCATCACTGGGTCTTGACTCACTAGAATAGTAAACTAGCAGCATACCCCTGCTCCGCCACAGTGACTCTTTTTTTAAATGTACCAACTTGGGAACAGAACAAAACTAAACACTAGGTACTAGGATTACAGGTAATCTATCGTTTTGGGTACGTAAAATCGCCCGCGGCTATTTATGTACGAAAACGTTACCTCATTGTCAAGGCTTTAATAGAAGTATATTGTCATACTTTTGTGTCAAATATTATAGATAAATGAATAATAAACCTAAATCAATGGCTAAATATATCGATATAGGCCAGAAATTAACTTTAAACAGCAGTGTCTGCAAGCAAGATTTGCTATATAAACAGCAGCCATTTGTAAAATAGAGTGACTTCCGCCTGAATCTCGCTATAAGTCTATAAAAATAAAACTTAGACAAGATGGCTGCTATAGTAAATGAGCATGGTTGCATCTGTTGGAAACATCGCTAGTCTTCATTTATTACGGAAAAGTTTTAATTCAATTTTTTAAAAACAGGTACATAAATGAATCAAGGAAACATTTTTGAATTTTTTAAAACATAAATCCTCCTCAAAATGTGAAATAATTATTAAAATTTAAGAAGTCACCTGTTTTTCACATTACAAATCGCGGGCGATTTTACGTACCCAAAACGATAGATTACCGGATTACATCTCGTTTTACGCCGCGCGGCGAGTTTTTCGTCCCCGTTACCCAGGCGAAGAGAATTTGCGGCTACGCGAGTGCTATAGTTTCGTAATTTTTATCGCTCGGTGTTATCGCCTGATCAATTTTCGTGCGATTATCAATTTTTCGTAAAAAAATGGACATTTTGCGTTTTCATTGTTTTTTTAATTTTGTGCATGGATTATTCAAGATGGAGTGTTTCAGTGAAAATAAGGTAAGTTTAATTTACTCCCTACCGTTTTGCCGCCGGCGATAGTGGCGAACGATGTTTTGCCGCCGGCGATAGTGGCGAACGATGTTTTGCCGCCGGCGATAGTGGCAAACGCTGTTTTGATATTGAAGGTAGTGGAGTAGAGGGGGGGGGAGGTTTGGTGCGGTAATAGCAATAAATGTTCAATAGTTAATTTTAGTGTCTAGAAATACCATTTTATTTATTTTGATGTGAAAGCAAACAATGTACTGTTTACTTTTCCAGATAGAACCTACACTTCAAAAACCAGCACATCTCTACAATATGATGAGCAGTTATATGGCCTAATGAGGGAACACTATGTAAAGAGGAATTAAAACTATTACAATAAATGTGTTCACCTTTTATTTAGACAAATTAAGTAATATTTTTTAAAATAACTTAAATAAATTTTGAAGCAGTACATTGAAAGTTTAGTAATATGAACTAGTTCTAGATTCTATATCATGTTAAAACCAACCAATGTTGAACTTCTTCTGAAATGTAAAATACTAATGAACAGACAGAAACACATCTTTTTAATTAAACTATATTTAAGTAGACTAACAAGTTAATTACATTTATACAAATAAAAGACCTTACATTTCTAATAGATCTAATTTGCCATCATTTTTATTTTCATATATTAGTTCAGTTTTTCAATTATGTCAGGTGCGTCGATGACTCAGCGTTTTACCTTTTTACCATCTTTTACCTATTTGTCAACTATTTAGATAGAACCATCAAACACACTTATTTCAGAGCTTCACTCTGGTTAGTTTTTAGCTTTAGATTCAAATAGTTTGGACCTAAGCTGATATTGTATGAACAAATTTCGTATTTAAAAATATGGGGTGTACCCTGTTCCACCCCTTATTTTTTGTCAAACAGATAGATTTAAACACATATTTTGATTGTTTCTGTTTAAGAATAGAGTCATCTAGAGCCAGGCAAATTTTGAGACTTAAGTGCTTAATAACTCAAATTTGCCATCATGTTGCATTTCACATCAACAAGACTTCGGTTTAGCGAAATTGCATAATCTATCAGCTTTGTAGCAGTTAAAACAAAAAACTTTTCAGTTATGAATATTATTTTGATTGTAATAACTGACACATCCATAGCTCAACATTCTCAGCAAGTTTGAGCTTAATTTTTGGAATAGTTAAAATTTTAACTAAGATTGTATGAATGCACTGTATATGAAAAATTAGGGGGGGTACCATGTTCAACTTCTGTTTTTGTTTAACTCTGCCCATAAATTTCTAATTTTATTGTTTATTATGCTTCCATATATAATAAATAAAGACATTGCAAAGTTATAACAAATTTGACCATATGGTTTACAAGCTAGGACAATTTTAGTAAACGCTTAAAAAAACTCTATCACAGAAATTGGACAAAATCCTATGTTAAAAAAATCACATTTTTTAATACGAAAAAAAATCATAACTATTTAACCGTTTGAGCTACATCAAAAAGGAAAACTGTTCTGTTATTGTAATTTTCTGCTCCTTTTAACTGTAGTAGTTGTTTCCCTAAAAAAACAATATTAAAAATTTATCCTAGTACCTACTAAACACAAAAGAAAACAAACACAGTTTACACAGCGCAAACACAAACAAAACACACACAAAAAACGCAAACGCAACACTCAAACACAAAAGAAAACAAAACTGCAAACAAACTAAACAGAAAACGCAAACACAATGCAAACGCAAAAAAACACAACCCAAAAGCAAATAGTATACAAACGCAAGACTAAAACACAAACCTAAACGCAAACAACAACGCATTGCATAAACACATACTTAAGTGCAAACATAAATGCTTAGTGCTCAAAGCCTAGCCTGGGGCTAATTCTAACCCTAACCCATAGCGCTCACGGGAAAGCCCATCATGCAAAATCGAATCCTGCCCGGGCGCCAGCGGACGTGCTTGATTCAATTGAGTGAATTACTATAAACAACCCCAGCTTGTCCACAAACCGAAAGTTAGAAGTAAACATAGAGGACAATTAGGAGTCGCTTCTAAACTGTTATTGATTAAAAATAATAATTAGTAAACAGTACTTCAGTGTATGAAATAAATAAAAGGCAGTAGGCCTATTTAAATAATCCATGGTTTACCTACCATATTGCACTGTATCATTCTATGCTAATTATATTATTCCAACAATAATGCCCTCTTGGATGTCAACGGAATTTGTTCACATTTTTTTTACAAGCGGGATTTACATTTTTATAACTACCTCCCCTGACATAATTATTATTCATTCTAATTCTTTTTTTGACAGTGCTGTTATTGAAACGTATTTTTTGATATTGATCTTTTTAATATGTTTTAGTAAATGTAAGTTGGAAATATTTTTTTGTTTTTTATATGTTGTTACACTAACAAGTCATTTTAAGATGTAAAAAACCTACTTGCTTAACATAACCCTCAATTATCTTCATTTAGTACTATAGAAAATTCATTTGTGTTCATTTAGATGTATAATATATAAAAACATTTAGAAAAACATAGGAGCTATAATTGTTTAAGTAGGTGAGGGCTGTTTAAAAAAATTGGGTCACGAAATAATGAGGTCAGGAGGTGGAAAACCCCCTGGTATAGAATGAGTTAACTCTTTAAGACCGTAACAACGCTCCCAGCGGTCGGTCTGCCGGCCTGCCATACCGTAACGACGCTCCCAGCGTTCGATAAAATTTTCTCTATTTAATTCGTTGTTTTTCGGAATCCAAGTTTTTAATCGTAAATCTAGGTCATGATAACGCTAGAGCGACCATTTTTCGTTGTATTTACTTCTTGTAGTTTTCTCGTTAAAGAGTTAATGCCTATATTATGTTCCAAGCATGTAAAAAATTATTTGTGCTGATTTTCTCTCACCATATTGACACTGAATTTGAGGTATATTGTTGTTTTTAAATTTGGACTTATTTTTTATGTTAATTACGGCATGTCGCGAATTCGCAACATCCTGCACTAATGGAGCAAACAGTAATTTTTAAAAAATGTGTCCGGTTTTTTTACTGACACATGTTTCTCTAAATATCCATGTTACAATACAAACTCAAAAGTGTTTCAAGTCCGTAATCAAAGTTTGTTGTAGGCCCAAATAATCAACATTTTGCAATTCAGGTGTTGTATAATTTTCCAAGACCAATGAGGTGGGCGTAAGATACAAGAAAAATGTCACATGAACAGTGTTTTTGCACCTATCCAACATTTTATTGCCTTGCTATTTCATGTCTTACACTTTACCCATACCCTAAGAATATGCATTAAGTTATGAAGAACTATTCCTAATACTAATACATATGATTCAATACTCACATTTTGTTAGATTATTTCCATATTTAAAATTTAACCAATTACAGGGCAAAATTTATAAAATACTAGTTTAATATATCAGTTTGTATGCACTGAAGCTGAAATAATTCAGTTTAAAAAAATGTAATTTTCATGGCTGCAAAATATTGAGAAAAGGTTAAAGAAAGAAGCTGTACAGATCTGTATGCTGGTCAATAGTATATCAATATGCTTTATGGCCTACAAAGAAGCTTGATGATGTTTAAAGTGGTTTCTTGTATTTGTTTTATCTCAACAGGGGTTAAGTGTTGTGCCAGTGTCCTGGGTTCTTAATGCTACAATAATACAATTTTCTTTAAAAAATAATGTTAGGTTACTGGCAGTTGACTAAATAGTAAAATTCTATATCTACAGTATAAGTGACTATATTGTTAGCCTATCATTTTGTACATGTTTATTTCCACGTATTTAAAAAAACACAGTGAATATTTATGTTCTTACACTTTTAATTGCAATACACACATACTTAACTGATCAATCCTTCTAGTTATTGGCTACACACAAATCAAAGCTTCCCTTTTGTTTCATTACCTATCAACTAACACACCCCCCCCCCCCCCCCCCCCCCCCCCCATCTCATGTCATGTTCACACAAACATGAAGTGATTGTAAAGTAATTAAATGCCCGCAATATTTAAATTTAGCTACTGAGGTACAAACTGCTAAATATTGACTTAGACATATGGTGGTGATTTGGGAACCGCTGTCAGTTTTAGACAAAATTTTTGTTTTCTTCATAGTGGTAATGGCAATTGACCCTGATCCAAATAATGAGGGTAGAATATCCTAACCCAACATATTTAAATAATTGAATAAACCTGAGATGCAGATACTTAAAATGTTTGGTCATAAATGTAATTTTTATCCAGTTCCAGACAATTTTTCAGTCATATACATAACAATAAAAACTATGAATTTTGCTCTTACGAAGTATGATGTGTTTATATTTAAATGATAAATATAAAAATCTCTAAATATAACAATACTTTATTCATAGGATTCAAGTGAAAGAAAATGGAAGTCCGTAGTTCCCTGTCCAGAATTAAAAGAAGCAGCTTACTTTTTAGGATCCCCTGGAATGAGCCAATTGCTAGAAGAATGGTTACATGAAACCATCCTTGAAGACCTCAGTAAAAGAGTTTCTCCAGTATTTTGGAAACATTTTCAAAATCTTGATAATGAAAGCAATGAGCCAGATAAAAGTGGCGAGACATTTGCAAAAGCTTTTGGATTTCTATATGGTAATTAAAGAACAACAAAATCGTAATTAAACAATATTAATAATTTTTCAATGTAATCATTTGATAAATATAATCCATTTTAAATAGTTTGTATTTTTGTGTTCTTCAGATGTTTACAGTGATTATTATATGGTTGCCTGGAGTAGATTAAGATGGCTGCAGATTCTAGCGGCCTCTGCACCAACAGTTGGTCCATCTGGCTCAACATCAGCTTTTACCCCAGTCAAACCAGCTGGCGTGTCATTCTCTAAAAGTGTTAAAATAGGAGCTTGTGAAAAAGTTCATGGAGGTTTGAAATCTGAGAGAGCGGGACGACCTGAGATTGGCCAGCTTAGTGTGACTTTTGAAAAAGGGACAAAAGGAGAGGATATGGAGACAGATTTTAATGACCTTTATTTAGAAGAGAGTACATGTAAATTTGGACTTGGTTCTAATCTGGAGAAAAGGATGGCAGTGAGTATGGATGGATCATATGTCAACTGTAAAACAAATGATGATTCTGTTTTATCTGATGTATCAGGACAAAGGTCTTATCAAAACAGCCAAAGTCTTAATGTTTCTAGAACTGACCCTGTGGTAAAAATACTGGAGGAAGAAGAAGACTTTGAATCTTTCATTCGATCTCCCATTGGGGGCAATAAAAAATTAATGTCATCAACAGTGAAAATGAAAACAGCTTTTCCATTGTCAAGTGGTGAAGCAGTTAAAACATGTGTGGACAGCAGCTCTGGTACCAAACTACACCCTCTGAGTCTGACATCCACCCCAGGTACTGCACAAAAGCAAACCCCTGGACCAGTTACACCTATAGCATATCAAGAGTCACCTGATGTTTTCTCAGATATTTCCATTCAAAAAACTCTTGGGGATTTGTCACATTTGGATAGTCCATCAATTCTTGAAGCATCTGTCCCCGCTGATGTATTTGATGCAGGAAATTCTGATGCCCTCCCAAATGCTTCTGTTGTGTTTGGTGTGCCAGTGAGTTCTAGACCTGTCCCTGGTGGCAGTGTTAGATGGCCCAGCAATGACAAGGGAACTGGTGGTATGCAAAATAGGGTCAGTTTTTTTTGGTTCATTACATTACAGCCAAGTATCATGTTCGATATAATAATTACGTTTCTCTTTGATTCTTGTAATAAACAGAGTCACTGTAATTGTTTCTACAATTATTTAACCCATTCAGACCTAGATGTAAAGAAATGTTTTTCCCAACAGGTTCAACTAATGATCAAGTCTGTTTTGTTGTACACATTTCCCAAGACATTTGCCACTGTTGTAAAAAACTTTTACTCGCATGCCTTCACAATACATAGAAATCAAATGGAGGGTACAGGTATAAGTAAGTGTTTCAAATAGTTATTTAAATGTAATGTATGTTTAAATATTGTTTTCTTTTTAAATATCGTTTGTGTAATATTGTGTAAATCCAATTTTTTAACTATCATGTTTTTCCATTTGACCAGAGTCTGAAAAAGACATTGAAGTATGTCAAAAAAGATTTGATGATGTTAACAAAAAGTTGTAAGTAGCTATTTTTTCAGTTTTAATATTACCGTTCTTTATAATATTATAAAAGTTTCCCTTTTAGGCCTCATTGTTGATTAAGTACCATTCATTTGATTCTATGATTTTGGCATAGTTTGGTCAGTTACATGGCCAACTACTATGAGAGCATAAAGTCAACATGAGAATATCACCATCTTGTAAGATTTTGTCCATTTTCTAGAGATGAAATGGGGCTGATGGAGCTAGTTAGTGGATCTGCTGTAACAGAAATTGTTCACAGTCAAATTGAGAAACACATAGAGGATGAATGCAAGGGAAATTTTGATAGTTCATATCTCTCAGAGCTAGAAGAGGTAAGAAAAATTTTCTTTGCTTGTTTTTATATTGTAAAAATAGTAAAGCTTCATAAACTTAAATTAATAATGAAAAATGCAACTTAGAAATGAAGCTACAAACATTCCATACACAAATCCTCACAAGCATCATGTGCTCATGTTTATACTCACACATACTCAAATAGTAACTTATACACTAACTTAAATGTATTTGGATCATGGTTTGTTTCTGCTAATGTTTAAACTAAAACATTTTCTTTGTTCTCTTCAGTGGCTAGACCAACAAGTTTTGGGGTGGTTGAATCATCTTTATGCCTGTAAGCAAACTGCCTCTCAGCTTGCTAGTGTGGTTGCCTTTCGGGATAGGCTAAGACACTTTATCTACGAAACATATGCCAAATCACTTATAGGCCAGTTCTTTGACATCATAATTGATTATCCTGACTCAAAGCCTGCAATCCTGGATCTGAGTGCCTGTCTAGAGAAAACAGATTTGAGGTCTGAGCTTGTATCTACATTGAAACATGCCTTAGAGAACAGGTTGCTTCACCCAGGTCAGACTGACAACAAAAGTTTTTGTCTCCTTGTTATTCTTTAATGTTTCACAAAGATCACATTTGTTCATTCAAAAGTTTTTGTCTCCTTATCATTCTTTAATGTTTCACAAAGATCACATTTGTTCATTCAAAAGTTTTTGTCTCCTTATCATTCTTTAATGTTTCACAAAGATCACATTTGTTCATTCAAAAGTTTTTGTCTCCTTATCATTCTTTAATGTAAGCCCTGCTAGGGGGGGATACCTAAAATCTACCCTTCTAGGCTTATCTAACTAACTACTGTCCGGTCAGTGCAAGCCCGGATAAACCCAGACTGGTTAATAACCTAACCTTAGTCTAAATAATGAAAACAAAAAAGCTTTAACAATAATATAAAATTTATTTAACAAAATATGGAACCAAAAGTTATTATAAAAAAAACTAGAATCTAGATCTAGACAAAACAAAACACTCAAGACATACAAAACAAACAGAACTCAATGAAACAAAACACCCAATTGCGGACCACCGTCCTAGAAAGAGGAAAAATAGACAAATCAATTCAAAATGTAAAAAAAGTTATACACAAGGCAGTAAGCTGACACAATTGTCAGCCTAAACAAGAGGCTCTCATAAATGAAAGTAAAATCTACAATAATCCATGACTAAACCCAGGCCATCATACTACCACGTGGTCTGGATAAAACAAACATTGAGACTTCTCAAAGTCGAAGTGACTAAATAGATCTAGTATATAGTCACTTTGTATACAAAATAAGTAAACAAAAATATGGAAAACATAATAAAACACTATAAAAATAACCCTACGTTACCATACACCATATAAATGTGTTACAGAAACACTTCAACACACAGGCCTCGACATTCCCGCTGAATGTCCACACACCACATTCACGAACAAAAAAAACAATATTACGCACAAGGAAATAGTCCCTAATACAACAATAACTTACATTCAGGATATAAAGCAAAGTGGAGCCACACTCCAAAACAAAGTTTGCATAAATAATAACATCAAAATATAAGCAAGACACAATAACCAGGCTATCAATCATTTTAAAATAAAAATCATATCAGCGCCATAATAGCGGACTACTTAACTAAAAACCACAAAAATCCTCAAAGGAACACAAAAAGTGACATTCACCTTTTTGTAATAAAATAATAATTAAATAACTCCCCAGCCCCTTACATTAATGTTTCACAAAGATCACATTTGTTCATTCAAAAGTTTTTGTCTCCTTATCATTCTTTAATGTTTCACAAAGATCACATTTGTTCATTCAAAAGTATGTTTAACTCAAAACTCACCTAGTCATTTCACAAAAACAAAACGTCCGTGTTATGGAAAATAAAATTTAAAACAGTTTTAAAATTTTTTATATAGTTTTCCCCTCATAAATAAAATTTCTTTTATTTCCTTAGGTGTGAATACAGCTGATATACTTACAGCTTATATAGCTGCCATTAAATCTCTTAGACTTCTGGAGCCTGCAGGTGTTATTCTAGAGTTGGTGTGTGAGCCTGTTGGAAGATATCTGAGGTAAGTTCTCATCATCTATTCTTACACAACTTTTGGTTTATAAGTATTAGATTTTATTTGATCTTTAAACATTTAATAACAATAATAAGATTTATTCTATTATCTCTAAAAAATGATTAAGATCTCGAGAAGATACAGTACGTTGTATAGTGGCAAGCTTAACAGATGAGGGAAACAATGAGCTGATCAATGAATTAGTCAACACTAAACCTGTGGGTGAAGAAAATCAGGAAGAAGATGGAAACATGGTAGGGTGGGAGAACTGGATGCCAGACCCAGTTGATGCTGATCCATGTATGAACAGGTTTTTTTCATAGTCGGCAGTTATTTTCATTATGTTTGTTTCTTTTATTTATGAAACTCCTTAAACCTTAGTAACAGTTTTTAGAATGATTCAAAAGATTGAATTCATTACACACAAGCCTATGTTATAACATAACTTTAAAGAATCAAATTCTTTAATATTTCAATATTCAAATCTCTGTACTAAAATAGTTGCTACAATTTGTCTTCAGCAACTTTGTCCAAAAACAGAAGGTCAGCCGACATTCTCTCTACGTTGGTTAACATCTATGGAAGTAAAGAGCTGTTTGTCAATGAGTATAGAGCATTGCTTGCTGATCGCATCCTAATGCAGTACAACTACGATGTTGAAAGAGAACTTCGCTACTTGGAGTTGTTGAAGTTGAGGTTTGGTGAAGCCCAGCTCCATTTCTGTGAAGTTATGTTGAGAGATGTGACCGAGTCCAGGAGAGTTAATGCCCGTATTCAGGACGCAAGAAAGTTAACAGAAACCCCAGAGGTCAATTTACACTCATCATTTTATGCTAATGTTTTCAAAGTGCTGATTTTATATTTGACAAGAGTTTTGGTTTGGTTTCCCTGTGTAGGAAGTGGAGATGAACGCCATGATTCTGTCAGCCCAGTTCTGGCCTGCGTTTAGAGATGAGAAGATTACCCTGCCCCCAGACCTGCAAGAACATCTGGACAAGTACACCAAATCTTTTGAAACACAGAAACAAAACAGAACACTTGTATGGAAGCCTCACTTGGGTCAGTGGAAACTTTTTGTCATTTGGTGACTTTAACTTAAGTAACATTTTTAGTAACATTTTGTATGCATTTGATTTTCTCTCTTTTGATCTCTAGGAATAATGAACATTGAACTGGAATTGAAGGAGGAAACTTTGAGCTTTTCAGTTTCACCTGTACAAGCTGCCATTATCATGAAGTTTCAAACCAAATGTAAGAAATCTGTCATGGGCTAACATTGTTTAGACATCTAAATTTCTGATAGCTTTAATCTCCCACAGTAGTAGCATTTTAAATTTTTCTTAAGTTTGTTTCTACTACTCTTGCTTTATGCAGAGCTAAAAGACATTTGATTGATGTTATTTTGTATTTCTTGTAGCCAAGTGGAGTGTAGATGAGCTTAGTTCGGAGCTAGAGATGACAGCTTCTGTGTTGCGGCGTAAAATTGCCTTCTGGCAAGGTCAAGGTCTGTTGAGAGAGATTTCCCCAGACATGTATCAGCTTGTTGAAGAGAGGCGGGGCCGACCTCATGACCTTGTCATGATTGATGAGGAAGAAATAGAATCAGCCATGGCCTCAGCTCAACAACAAAAAGAGGAAGAGATGCAGGTATGTCAGTGACATGCACTAATATAACATTCAGACTAGCTGCATCCCGTGCTCCGCCACGGTAAATCTTTTTAAAATATACCAACTTTGGAACAGAACAAAACAAACAAAAACACAACACAAACAAAACACAACCACAACACAACCACATTACAACCACAACCACAAAACAACCACAACACAACCACAACACAACCACAACACAACCACAACACACGGTAAATCTTTTTTAAATGTACCAAGTTGGGAACAGAACAAAACTAAATACAACACAAACGAACGCAAAGGAAAAAAAAAACGAAAAAACAAACACAACACTCATAACATAAACACAATTTAAATGCAATCATAAAGGCATATTGCTCACAGTCTAGCCGGTAGCGCCAAATCGCGCCCTTTCCGGTGATTTGCACCCCCCTCAAACTTTCGATTTGCACCCCTGTCCCCCCGCCCTAAAACTTTCGATTTCCACCCCCCCCCCCCCCCCCCCTCGCGCAATTTTTTCCAACCCACTTTGGCGCCCCCTAAGGTCGGCACCCGGGGACATATGCCCCCCCCCCTCGCTACGCCTCTCCTATAAAACCCGAAAGATAGAATAATAATTAGAAAACTGTATAAATAATAGGCAGTATCTATAATATCCGTGTTTTACCTACAATATTTCACTTTATCCATTCACGCATTTTTTTCCAGTACTTTAAATTTTAAAAATTTACAATAGAGTTTCATAACTAAAACCATTGCGCACCTGATGAACGTGATGACGCGTCTATAATAGTGCTAAATAGTTGATTCAAAATTATAAGTAATAAACAGTAGGGCCTACATTCAGTGAATAAAATAAATAAAAGATTGCCTTTTATCAATCCATGCTAATTATAATTTTCTAACAATAATTTACTCTTACACATCCGGATAATTTGCATTCACATTTTGCTAATTATATTATTGCAACACTAATTCCTTCTATGACGACTGTATATTTGCATTCACATTTTTTATTAGCGTGAGTTTAATGTATTTTTAAATTACCTCTTTTGTCAAAATTAGAAAAAAAGAGTTATATTAATTTGATTTTTCTACCGTACTGTTATTATGTTATTGAAATGTATCCATTTTTTTCTGGGAATATAAACGAAAATGATATTTGACATTGATACTTTTAATATGTTTTAGCCGTGTGTGTATATTTAATATTTTCTTTAAGTTATGCAAAATTGTACAAACAGTGGAAATTATAAAATAGCTCTATGCCGCTATATAAACAAACCCTACTCTAATACTTATAATAAGACACTGCGGTGCACTGAAAAGCACAGCATGGTGCGTAGTTTACTTTTATAGTCCCAAAATCTATAGCGATGACGGAAGGACTGACACACTACCTAGCCGCTTATATTATAGATCATGCTCTCAGCAGGGATTTTCATCTCATACAGTTTTAGAGGATTTCTTATATATTTAAGGTATATTTTGTATATTAGCTGTGTAATAAAACATTTCCATTGCACTCCCAGGTATTCTGGACTTACATTCAAGGCATGCTTCAAAATTTGGACTGTCTGACTTTAGAGAGAATCCATTCAATGCTCCGCATGTTTGCCATGGAGGAACCCAGCTCTTCTGAAGTTTCACCGCAGGAGTTGAAAACTTTTCTTGACAACAAGGTTAAAGATCAAGTGTTGATTTTTTCTGGGGGAGTCTACAGACTTAATAAGTAATTTGTTCTTGTGAGCAGTTAAAAAATGTTCATCAAACTGTACAAAAATGTTAATAGATTTCTTTGTAGCTTTTATCAATAATGTATCATTGTAGAAATAAAAATATAAAACATTTGTTCTTGTAAGTTATAGGCTGCTCTATACACTTTTGAACTTGATTCGCACTGATCATTTATTGATCTAGGCCAGGGGTCTCCAAACTACGGCCCGCGAGGTCCTCTCATCCGGCCCGCGGAGATCTTTTTGTCCACGGAAAAAAATGTTTGTTTGAGGTGGCTAAGGAACTTTGCCCAAAAAATGCAAAACAAGTTGCCTACCGTATTGCAAACATTGGTGAAAACACTGACTGAAATAGCGAAAAATGGAAGCAAGTTCCGCAATTTTTAAAATTGCAATGGAGGAGTCGCTGGACAGCTGTTTCACCTCTCAACTGCGTGTGTTCATTAGAGGTGTGGATGAAGACATAAACACAACACAAGAGCTGGCTTTTCTGACAGTTACTGGAGAGGATATATTCGATGAGTTGAAAAAAAAACATTTGCTGATTATAATTTGGACTGGACTAACCTCAGTTACCTGACATTTGACGGAGGAAGAACATTAGTGGCATAAAGAAAGGCTTGATTAGACAAGCGGAGCAGATGTGTAATGAGAAAAACATTCTACGACCAATGTTCCTGCACTGTATTAATTATTCACCAGCAAGCTCTGTGTGCTACATATGTGGACGTACGCAGTGTAGTGAATCCTGTGTTGAAGATGGTTAATGTATAAGGTCACATGAGCTCAACCACAGATAGTTCAGAGACATGTTGAAAGATACAAACAGAGAATCGCAAGATTTACCAGTAAAATGACTAAGTTTTGAGAAAGTTCTGAGCAAGGTATTTAAGTTAAGAAAGGAAATAGGTGACTTCCTGGAAAACAAAGCAAGCTGCTGCCGTTAATGTTTGATGAAAAGTATAGAAATTGGCCTCTGCAGCAAACATAACACGTCATTTAAATTTTCTTAACCTAAAACTAAAAATTAGGGAAATCTAATTTCTGATCTATACACCCACCTAAAGGCCTTCAGATCCAAACTTGTCATGTTTTCGGGACAAGTCTTAGTACAAGCCAACAACTTAACGCACTTTCAGCAGTGCAAGCTCTTCATAGCTGAAGCAACAGATGTCCCCCAGGTCATTTCCATGCAAGATCATCAAAGACCTCCAGCTGCAGTTTCAGTAGAGGTTTGCTGACTTGGATTCAAAGGCAGAAGAAGTGAAGTGAGACTGTTTCAAAACATTTTAAATAGATGTGGCCAGTTGCCCAGATGAACTGCTGCTGGAGGTTATTGAATTGCAAGCAAATGACCTCCTTAGAGACTAGTTCAAAGAATGGGGGGTGGGTTTTTTAAATACGTTTTCGACCAAGGAAGACTCTCCTAAAACTTATCCTTCAAAGTACCTTTCAAATTTTGCAACAACATACCCGTGTGAACAAACATTTTCATGAGTGAAATACGTGAAGAACCATTTGAGAACAAACTTGGACCTGGTGTGTGTTGTCAGACTTTTTTCTCCGACGACACTTAAAATTTGTATATATTTCTATATTAATTATATTTCGTGGGGGGGGGGGGGGGGGGTAGGTAGACATTCTTCGGGGGGGGGGGGGCTCTACCTCCCCGAAGAGATGCCTGGAAAAACTGGCCCCCGAACTGATTTTTGATAGTTAATGCGGCCCTCGGGCTGAAAAGTTTGGAGACCCCTGATCTAGGCATTTATAGCTTCTGAGTTTTCAAGATTGTATTTTGAATCTTTAAAAAAAAAAAAAAAAAAAAAAAAACAAAACAAAGAACAGTTGTGTACTTGAAAAAAAAAGGATACGTCTGAAAGATAACTTAAGAGGTGGCTTCATAAATACTTATACGACACTTTTTGAAGTAAAAAAAAACTAGATCAAAACTGACCAAAAGCTTTTTGCAGATAGCTGTAGAGTTTTTCCACATTATGACTTAAAAAAGCTCATTTCATTTTCTAGACTTTTTATTGCTATAAAATGTGCATCCGAAAAAATAACTTTACAATGGAAAGTCATTTTACGTTTCCACACTGAGATCCGTATTGATGTTGTAAATGGTCTATAATCATGTGACATCATTTTTACACAGCCAACATTTGTCCACCCACACACATTCTATTGGCAAAAGGCCCCATCCATTTAGGTGGTTGCCCCACCTGGTAAGTCCTTTCTTTCAGTGCCCCTTTCACAACACTCTCCTCCCACCCCCCCTCCCCCCGTCTTCCCGCTCCCCCTCCCATAACCAACACTAACCTTCCATTCCCCGATCTCCCTTCCCAAAAGTAACCCCCGTCATCCCGCTCTCCCTTCCCAAATCAAACCAACCCCACCCCACCCCGTCTTCTCGCTCCCCCTTCCCAAACCAACCCCACCTCACCCCGTCTTCTCGCTCCCCCTTCCCAAACCAACCCCACCTCACCCCGTCTTCTCGCTTCCCCAAACCAACCCCACCTCACCCCGTCTTCTCGCTTCCCCAAACCAACCCCACCTCACCCCGTCTTCTCGCTCCCCCTTCCCAACCCCACCTCACCCCGTCTTCTCGCTCCCCCTTCCCAACCCCACCTCACCCCGTCTTCTCGCTTCACCAAACCAACCCCACCTCACCCCGTCTTCTCGCTTCCCCTTCCCAAACCAACCCCACCCCACCCCGTCTTCTCGCTCCCCCTTCCCAACCCCACCCCACCCCTTCTTCTCGCTCCCCCTTCCCAAACCAACCCCACCTCACCCCGTCTTCTCGCTTCCCCAAACCAACCCCACCTCACCCCGTCTTCTCGCTTCCCCAAACCAACCCCACCTCACCCCGTCTTCTCGCTCCCCCTTCCCAACCCCACCTCACCCCGTCTTCTCGCTCCCCCTTCCCAACCCCACCTCACCCCGTCTTCTCGCTTCCCCAAACCAACCCCACCTCACCCCGTCTTCTCGCTCCCCCTTCCCAAACCAACCCCACCTCACCCCGTCTTCTCGCTCCCCCTTCCCAACCCCACCTCACCCCGTCTTCTCGCTTCCCCTTCCCAACCCCACCTCACCCCGTCTTCTCGCTCCCCCTTCCCAAACCAACCCCACCTCACCCCGTCTTCTCGCTCCCCCTTCCCAAACCAACCCCACCTCACCCCGTCTTCTCGCTCCCCCTTCCCAAACCAACCCCACCTCACCCCGTCTTCTCGCTTCCCCTTCCCAACCCCACCTCACCCCGTCTTCTCGCTCCCCCTTCCCAAACCAACCCCACCTCACCCCGTCTTCTCGCTCCCCCTTCCCAAACCAACCCCACCTCACCCCGTCTTCTCGCTTCCCCAAACCAACCCCACCTCACCCCGTCTTCTCGCTCCCCCTTCCCAAACCAACCCCACCTCACCCCGTCTTCTCGCTCCCCCTTCCCAAACCAACCCCACCTCACCCCGTCTTCTCGCTCCCCCTTCCCAAACCAACCCCACCTCACCCCGTCTTCTCGCTCCCCCTTCCCAAACCAACCCCACCTCACCCCGTCTTCTCGCTCCCCCTTCCCAACCCAACCCCACCTCACCCCGTCTTCTCGCTCCCCCTTCCTCAAACCAACCCCACCTCACCCCGTCTTCTCGCTCCCCCTTCCCAAACCAACCCCACCTCACCCCGTCTTCTCGCTCCCCCTTCCCAAACCAACCCCACCTCACCCCGTCTTCTCGCTCCCCCTTCCCAAACCAACCCCACCTCACCCCGTCTTCTCGCTTCCCCAAACCAACCCCACCTCACCCCGTCTTCTCGCTCCCCCTTCCCAAACCAACCCCACCTCACCCCGTCTTCTCGCTTCCCCAAACCAACCCCACCTCACCCCGTCTTCTCGCTCCCCCTTCCCAAACCAACCCCACCTCACCCCGTCTTCTCGCTTCCCCAAACCAACCCCACCTCACCCCGTCTTCTCGCTTCCCCAAACCAAACCAACCCCACCTCACCCCCTCTTCTCGCTCCCCCTTCCCAAACCAACCCCACCTCACCCCGTCTTCTCGCTCCCCCTTCCCAAACCAACCCCACCTCACCCCGTCTTCTCGCTTCCCCAAACCAACCCCACCCCACCCCGTCTTCTCGCTCCCCCTTCCCAACCCCACCTCACCCCGTCTTCTCGCTCCCCCTTCCCAAACCAACCCCACCTCACCCCGTCTTCTCGCTCCCCCTTCCCAAACCAACCCCACCTCACCCCGTCTTCTCGCTTCCCCTTCCCAACCCCACCTCACTCCGTCTTCTCGCTCCCCCTTCCCAAACCAACCCCACCTCACCCCGTCTTCTCGCTCCCCCTTCCCAAACCAACCCCACCTCACCCCGTCTTCTCGCTTCCCCTTCCCAACCCCACCTCACTCCGTCTTCTCGCTCCCCCTTCCCAAACCAACCCCACCTCACCCCGTCTTCTCGCTCCCCCTTCCCAAACCAACCCCACCTCACCCCGTCTTCTCGCTTCCCCTTCCCAAACCAACCCCACCTCACCCCGTCTTCTCGCTCCCCCAAACCAACCCCACCTCACCCCGTCTTCTCGCTTCCCCAAACCAACCCCACCTCACCCCGTCTTCTCGCTTCCCCTTCCCAAACCAACCCCACCTCACCCCGTCTTCTCGCTCCCCCTTCCCAAACCAACCCCACCTCACCCCGTCTTCTCGCTTCCCCTTCCCAACCCCACCTCACTCCGTCTTCTCGCTCCCCCTTCCCAAACCAACCCCACCTCACCCCGTCTTCTCGCTCCCCCTTCCCAAACCAACCCCACCTCACCCCGTCTTCTCGCTTCCCCTTCCCAAACCAACCCCACCTCACCCCGTCTTCTCGCTCCCCCAAACCAACCCCACCTCACCCCGTCTTCTCGCTTCCCCAAACCAACCCCACCTCACCCCGTCTTCTCGCTTCCCCTTCCCAAACCAACCCCACCTCACCCCGTCTTCTCGCTTCCCCTTCCCAAACCAACCCCACCTCACCCCGTCTTCTCGCTTCCCCTTCCCAAACCAACCCCACCTCACCCCGTCTTCTCGCTTCCCCTTCCCAAACCAACCCCACCTCACCCCGTCTTCTCGCTTCCCCTTCCC